TATGTGTCAAACTTACGAAGGTAAACAGATTGACATTTATAATTAATTAGAAGAAGATTATCTCTAATAAATTCAAATACCAATTACTGGTTCCGCCAAAACAGTATCAATTACTCTACAAGCAGTTTTTATAACATTAGTTTTGTTAGAATTGGAGTTAAAACATCACATGATTCATGTTGTTAACATCACTTTTGATGATGTTATCGTTAATATTTTAGAAATTTAATTATTGATGGACTTTTTAATTTTAATTTGCTAGCCAATCCCACGTTACCCTACTCTACCCTACCCTACTTTATCTTATGCTAGCTTAGTTTACATCTTCCAACTCTATCATCCTGCCCCACCTAATTATTACTTATAAGTTTATAATGTATCGAGTATTATGTTCCACCATCTATTTGTTGTCATTTTGCAAATTTAAGTTAGGCAAAACGTTGTAGCTCCTACTTTAAATTAAGGTTTCCAAAATGTTCGAAAGCATAAACAATTTAACAAAATTTGCGTCCTGCTTTGTATTATAATAAGCGATTTTTCAAAAATAAAAGTACCTTTTTTTCAAAGAAAGTTGATGTTGAAAAATATACTGTGAACTTTTGTATAACGAAACTTCATTATAACTAACAAATTTAAAACCTCAAGTAAATTGTCAGACAGGAATTCTACTATACATGTATACCTTGTGTTTAAAGTTTGACCGCGCTCACGCCGCCTTGATCGTATTTTAATAGAAAAACCCCTTTGTAAACCCGAATTATAAAACATTTTAGAAACGGTCTATTTATTGTTGTCTAATGGATCAAAAATTCATAAAAATTCAATATATAAATTGCTTTTCCTATAGCCTTCAAAAAAGTCTACTGTATCTGTTTTGCTTCTCCAAAATGTTCGTAGATCACCATTGTTACAAATTCCAAATATTATACATCGTATTAGCTTATTTTAAGTACTCGGTAATTTCTATTCTACTTAGGTATGTTTTTGTGGCATTTATTTCGAAACTTTCTTTATTAGATTCGACAGAAAATAACAAAATATTATAGTATTAGACATATATTTCCTCCAAATACATAATTGTTTGTTACAATTTGTTATTCTTCTTTACTACATCACTATGCAGCAGAAAAATTTAAAAAATTGTAAAAATTGATGTTCCTACTGTAATGTTATATTATCCTTACTTAATTCTTGTATTTTAAATATCATCACAGAGAAAATTATAGTATCATACTATACAGTACCACTTGTACGTACGTACAAGAAACATCTTATTTTACCAAAAAATGCGGTCAGTAATCTTTACAAACGATTACAATGCCTTCAAAATCATATTATAATTGAGAAAAGAGTAAAGTTTCAAGTCCGAAAACGTGCGTCGCAAGCAACGACAAACAAATTCCAATCACAGCACACACAACCCACACATTTCATCGATAAAATCAAAGGAATACAAGCTGTTCCAACCCAGACAAGTCAACAAATCAATATGTAATTTGAACTGATAAAAGACCAGAAACAGCTTTTCAAAAATAAAATTTAAAACGGCAAAGTAAATTTTAAAGTAATACTCTACCCTCTTTTTCCCTGCCCTCCCTGCCATATTACACTGTACCCTACTCTACCCCATCTTACCCTACATTGCCTTACCCAGCCCTGTCTTGTCTTGCCCTGCCTTCTTTTAAATTATTTTACCCTACTCTACACAATGAAAAACTGCTTACACTTCAGCACTTTACTACCAAATAATACATACTACAGTACCCAAAAATATCTTTTTTCGAACTACAAGCTACTCTTTTTTCTTTTTTTTTATTACATTTTTATAAAACTATTGCAATCAAGTCTTCCAAGACATTGGGTTAGAATTCCATGCAACGTTCCACGTTGATTTCAGCTGTAGACGTTGTAAATTCCAAAAAAATCGTAAAAATGCATTTTTTCTAAATTTCCAAGAACTTTCTTCTTTTATCAATATTTGAAATTTTATAAATTTTAGGTAACAATTGGTCAAAAAGTGTGTAAAATTAAAAATGTTGCCAAAATACAGCTTACATTTGGATTTTTCGCCATTTTTGTGATTTTCTTTATAAAATGTATGTTTTCTCTAAACTTTTTGACCTTCCTCAAAACGTTTAACCTTTCTCAAAAATTTTTGACATCTAAAATGAACTTAATTTCTTTCTACATACTATTAAACCTCAGAAATGCCATTCTTAATAAAATTAGCTAAAGTACAAATTTAAAATATTCCTGTCTTCAATTTACATGTTTTTACACGTGAAAATACGACAGGACTTTCCAGCCATCCTAAGATTAAAAAAGTTGATAATTTTTTCTAAAACTTTGTGATAAGTTGTTAAAAACTAATGATAAGTCGTAACAAAAAGCTAAATTTAACATTTTCAGCCATTGTTTAGGCTTATCAGTGTTTATCACCGAATGTACTGTAAGTTTACCTCCTCCGCTTTCTGAGTTTGTTCTTTACACCCGGACTTTGTTTTAGCTACAAAACGTAAGGGACAAAGTTTAAGGAAAGTTTTTATGCTTTACTGTCAAATCAGGCTACATGAAGATAATCAAAGTTCTACAGACGTACCGTAATATCAGAGGGTTTGACGTAACTTAAAAAAAGTTTTGTCTCTATTTAAAAATGAACTTTGATATTCTTGGAAATTTGAAATCTTATACAGTGGAACTCCTGCATAACAAATCAACTGTTTTGTAAAATATCATAATAACCAGAATCTGCACGTACGTTCCACTCCACAACCTTATAATCTTATGTTTGTCAAAACTGGCTAATTACCGTATTAAATAAAAGGCCAATTACTGTACTAATAGACCTTTATTTTGCCCACCGGATGAGAAAATCCCTAACAAAAGTTATTTATAAACAAATCCCCATGTTATTATACTCGAAACTTTTGCAGCTTATCCGCGAATTTTGTGGCCAAAAATAAAATACATGCAAAAGTGAATAAGACAAGAGATTAAGGCGGTCGGATCTGTCTGATCTATACTTATATAGGTCTAGTTTTTCGTGAAAAATATTTTTTTTTTTATTTTTAAAAAATTCACATTAAAAAAAATTTTTTTTGAAAAAAACTTGCCCTAATCTACCTTACCTTACCTACCCAACTCTCACTTGTCTTGCCCTGACCTGCCTTGCTTTGCCTTTGCTTAGCTTCGCTTGCCTTGCTTTGTCTTACCTTACCTTACTTTACCTTGCCTTGTTTTGCCCTGCCTTGCCTAGCCCTACTCTCCTGTCTTACTCTACCCTACCTACCTTAAATTAACTTTCCCTTCTTTACTCTACCATAGTCTACTCTACAACAATTCCTTAAACTTTTAAATTAAACTACATTTAAGATTATATTAAAAGTGCAAGAGTTGACAGAAGCCAACTCTTATATCTATTCTTCTAATTCATACCGTTCTTTATCCGACAACCCTTGTCAATACAGTATCTAGAATTTACCAAGTTAAATATAGTAAAATTAAATCCGGAAGAAGCATTAAAATGGCATAAACTTGCATTGTTCCTTATTTTAGGAACAATAAGCCCAAGATGACTATTTAAAACACACAAAAGATTATCAAGGGTTTACATGACATATAGACGAAGAATGTGAAGTTTTTAACAAAGATATGATATGACAATGTAAAGATGTTACTCATGGTAGAGTTTTCTTATCCTACTTTACCTTACGTTACTTTACATCACCTTACCTTACCTTAACTCAGCCTACCCTACCTTGCCTTATCCTGCCCTTCTTTACTCTATTCTACTCGACACTACCCACCCCTCTACACCCCATAAAACACAATTTTCCCCTGCCCTTATCACGCATATAACAAACAATCCCTCAGTAATTAATTACTCTCAACTGTAAATGTTTACATGCCTTAATTGGAATCTGTTTATTTAATTAAAAGGCCTCTGTTCATTAATTCAAATCCCCCATTAAGTGTCACAAGATTGTCATCCACGACGTCAGCTTAACATTTGGAACGATCGTCACTCACTACGGTAATTGTAATCCGATTACAATCACATGGTGTGATTATGATAATTTAGATTAGGACTAATTAAAATATGTTTTGACAAACATTTTTTCGATAATTAGATTAAAAATTTCTTAGTACAAAGGTTGAATGTCAAGTATTGAGACTAGTTGTTTTTGGTACTATACTGATAACTGTATGATACAAAATGATACTTGGAATTCAATGTAGTTAATGAACTTGACTCAAAATAAGATAGAACAAGCTAGAATAAGATAAAGCAAGCCAGAATAAAGTGAAAAAACAAAGATATAAACCTCAAATGTAAACAAAAAAAAATAAAAATTCCGGCCCCAATAGTTCCTTGCCCCAAAAGTTCTTGCCCCGAAAGTTCCTGCCCCAAAGGTTCCTGACTCCGTCCCACTGCTGTACCTACATAAAGAAATTAAAAAATAGATCGAAAACAAAAATCAATGGAAAAAAAAATAAAATTGTTGGCTTCAGAATCCATGTTTCAAAGCTGGATTCGCAATAAAAATAAAAAAAAGAAAAATTCGTTGAAAAAAAACAATATCTCGAAGAAATGACGCATTTTCTAGATGAACTTGAACAATACGCGATGAAATCGACTGCATTTTGCGGCTAAGGTTAGAGAATATGGAAAAACTAGCAGGTAATGGCAATTTTTTTTATCAACGTTGGTCAACATCGACACAATTTACGAATATAACCAGATTTCAATAACACATTTTCTGGACGACTTGATAATAACAGGTTTTTTAGATGAAGGCTTCCAAATTACTGATTCTTTGAACGAGTCAATGAAAATTGACTTATTTTTGGACATTTTTTGATGGATTTCGATACATTTCGCCCAAAATATTAACTATTATATTCAAAAACATTAGTAATAATTTATTTATACCATCTTCCAATATATTACTATTCAATTCACTATCAACAACAACCAAACATTTGCCAAACATGATACTTTATGACATTTTTCGCCGATACTTTTGAGCCAACATCGAGGCCGTGGATTCGGAGCTTTCCTGAGTTTGTGACTGACTTCTCAACGTTGTCAAGGATCGATTCGATCGTGACGATGAGGTCATAACTGAGGTTGTACGTTGGATCTTAGGCTGAGAGTCAATATTTATTGGTCTTGGGCTAGGTGATGCTCTTACTGGACTTAAAGGTGGTCTACCTGATTCAGAACCCCCTTCGTCGACCGATCCACGAGCAGATGAAAGGCGAGGTACTGGAGTTGGAGGTTGATGAATGATTTGAGTGGTCGATTTCTGTTGATGAATCTTTATTTTAGTCGACTTGGATTTAGGGAAGGATACCACAAGATCTTGGGCTTTTCGGACGATCTCTTCTAGTTCGGAACCACTGAAAATAACATGGGTAATTTTAAGGAATAATGACATTGTTATAGATCATGTACATCAATTTCTAATCAGTTTTAAAAACAATATTATTATAGGTAATATACAAAATTAATTTTATAATCTTTCAGGTATCTTTGAATCTTTTTTGAATATCTTAGGCACTTTTTAATCTACAAAAAAATTTTGAAAGGATCGTTTCATTTCATAAGGCTTAACAATTGTAAATCCAACTCACGCTTCAGATTGACGTCGCAACTCCATTTGAAGTTTAGCCAAAGTGTCAAAGTATTGTATCCTGAACTGCTCCAGCTTTTTGGCTAGCCATTCAATCTCCAGAGAGCTTTGTTCCAGCTAAAAGCAATCACAATATATTTTCTTAAATAGTAATTGATCCCAGCCTTGGTATCTATAGCTATGGTAATACTAGGTTGTTTAAATTTTTCGTGCCCCTTCTCAAAGCAAATTTTCGGGTTTAGGGGCACATAATTATTTGGACAACCTAATATATAACCACAAATTTAATACTACAATTCAGACTTACCTTTTCATACAAAACCTCGATTCTCTCACTCAACGAGATCTTCTCCTCCCTCAAGCCCTGGTTCTCAACTGACAAAGCATTTGACATCACTTTCAATGCGGCCAATTCCTCCTGAATCTGAACCCTCTTCTCCTGTTCTTCATCTTCATTCTGATCCCTTTCCTTTATCTCATTCTCCAGTTTTACTCTCACTTCTTCATCCAATCTTATCCTTTCTTTCGCTCCAGCCAATTCACCTTGAATCTTTTTGTAATCCTCACGGAGTTTTCTCAGCTCATCTACTGTAATATCTACATGAGGTCGGGTGTTGAGTTCACGTTTTTGTTGGTCTACAAGTTGTTCTAGGCGGGAAATTCGACTGGTCAATGAGGAGTTTTCTTTGATCAGTTTGTTGTTTTCTTGAGTCACGTTTTCGGTCATGGACTTTTCGGATTTTAGGGATAGTTGAAGTTCTTTGAAGCGCTGGCGGAGGGAGGTTAGTTCATCCTGAAAAAACTGATGATGTTGAAGTAGACAACTCAGAATTTTTTTTTATTGAGACATTATCGTAGTCTAACCTTATAGCGGGCCTCAGCATTACTTATTCTTATTCCATTCTAAATTACTCAGCCCTATATTAATATGTTTTACTTTACTCTGCCTTATATTACTTTACTGTGCTATATTCCTCAGTACTACCTTATCTTACCCTTCCTGACTTTGCCTTACCCTAAAAACCCCAAAACTTGTATACCTACAACAATACAACCTTATCCTTACCGCCTTCTCAATGATCTTCTTCCTCTCCTCGTTCAACTCAATCTCTAACTCACTAGCCCTCTCTCTCAGCTTCTTTGACTCTCTATACTCTCCCATTGCATGATAATCTCCTTTCTCTGTCGAGGTTTGTCGTGACGTTGTGTTAGCTGACATCTGACGTATCCTTTTGGCCAAAGTCATTCGTTCAGATTCAAGCCTTGCGATTTCACCGTCTTTTTCAGCCAACAATGGTGTTAGATCGTCCAGACGACGTTGTAACTCAATATTGTCTTCCATCAAGGTCTTGCGTTCTTTTGTAAAGGATTCTGAAAAGGCAAATGTGCTATGTTGATGTTTAAAGACTTGATCATATATGGCTGGAGACTTATACTTCAAATTTTTTTTCTCAAAAATATTTTTTTTTCTCAGTGAAAACCAAAAAATGGCGCAGGAAAATACAAAATTCTGCGCCGTTTTAAAAAGAGAGCACAATAAAGCAAGAGACACTAGAGGAAAGACTCTCTCTCTTTCAAACGATATTTTTTTCAAATGGCGCAGAATTCTGTATTTTTCTGCGCCATTTTTTAATTTTCACTGAGAAAAAAAATATTTTTGAAGAAAAAAATTTGAAGTATAAGTCCCCAGCCATATATTAAATATAATACTCAGTATTGAATGATATGTTTCCAAACCCAAAGATTTGCATTGATATAGAGCGCAGAATTATTTGAACAGCCTAATAGTTAAATACATGCATAAATCACAGTAAAAACTCAAAAAATATTACAAAAATCAGTGATACTTATCAAAATAAAGTTCGAAACTTACTGCTACCGCCTTCAAATCCAGCCAATCGTTCTAAAGCTTCATCACGTTGAGCAACAACTTTTCGATTCTCGTGTTGTAGCGCTTTGACCTTTTCCTGAAGACGGCCTTCTGCCTAGAAAGATGAAGTTATACTTACGAAAACTATAATTTTAATTTTTTTATAAGCAATGCTTAAAGTCGCTACAGATTTCCTTGGGGACAAGAGGATGGGCCAAGACCATTTACCCTTTCCCCTATCTTACCCCGAAAGTTCTTGCCCAAAAGTTCCTGACCCCCTAGCGACGTCCACGTATATAGTGAAAGAAGAACAGATAAGCATTTTTACAGAGTGAAAAAGATAAAACATCAATTTTAATAATACACTGACAAAACCGCTTTTATAAGAATCATAGTTTGGCATGCATATAACTATTACATGTATATTTACGTGACTTTAATTGTTTACTGTTTTAAGAGGTAAATATGATATTACATGTCTACTAATACTGCATAGTAAAAAACCAAGGCTGTTGTTGAGGGCAGTAGGTGACTTTCTCCTGGCAGACACATGTAAGCCCCAAACCAAAGCCCAGCCGGTGTGTCAAACCAAAAAATGAGGCCCGGCCCTTTTACAGGTCTAGTTACATCCCTTTAACCCTACCTTATAAGCCTCCTCCAGCTGATCGAAAATGTCCTCGTCTTTGAAAGATTGCCCTTCTTTTTCGTTGAAATTGACTCTTTTGGAACGTTGATGATATGTAGTTGTAGCTGAAGTTCCTGAACCACGAACATTTCTTATATTCGTCTCTTGATCTTCTTCTTTTCCTATGTTCTGTCTAAAAATTAGTCGTTAGCTTGTACTTGGTCATAATGTTATCAGTTTGCTACTAGATGTTATAATACTACAATGCCTTAATATTGTCATGTCATACTAAATACCGTATTATAACATGTCATACAATGTATTATGTTTCTTGACAAAAAATTATATTAATTTGTTCAAATAATTCTGCGCCCTCTTTCAATGCAAATTTTCGGAATCAGAGGGCCCTGAATTATTTGAACAACCTATTACTGACATTATCCTACCATGTCATACAATGTAAATACAGTGCAACTCCTGTATAAAGGACAATTTACAGTAGAACTCCTGTCAAATACACAAGCGCTTCGTTATACAGGAGCTCCACTGTAATGAGTTTAAACTTACAAATACTTATTTTGAAGTTCAAGCATTTCATTTTTGATCCTCAAGTTCTCGACGTAGATGTCTTGTAAAAAGGTCAGGTCGGCTGGATGTTGACAGTTACAGACCCTAAAATACATTACTACATATCTGTCATAAGTTTTTTGAGAGATTGTACCGTCATTTACATACATATATACCTAAAAAACAAAAAAAAAGTTTTTTCGTACATTGGTCATGCTCTTAAAAAATTTTGTCGCTTATTACAATGCAAAGTAAGTGTAAATCGACGCCAAAACGTTTCTAACGCTAACAAAATTAAATCTTTAAAGACTTCTCAAAAGAAAAAATTTTTTTTAGTAATAAAAAGTAAGATATCAAGCCTAATATCAAGATACTTCAGTAAAATTACAAATCATCACAACTTACTGCCCAGTAGTATTGACATTTTGTTGAGATCCAAACTTGGAATGGACTGTAGCTGATTGGGTTGATCTTCTTTCATGCGTAGTGCTGTTTTTTGTTGTCCCAGGTATCATAGCAACCTTGCCGGCGGCCACATTACGTTGCTGAGACGGCATAACGAAAGGGCCGCGACGTTGTACTGGTGGGGCCGCATATCCACGTCCTGGAAATTTTTTTTTTTACGTTTTTAGGCTTATAGATAAAAGAAAGAAACTAAATTTAGGTATCAACAAGATGACTTTTTTTAACTTTGAGTAATTTTTTTGGGTACAACATGATTTCTTAATTTTAGGTAACAAATCACCTACTACAATATTTTTAATGTTTAGGTAACAAAATTTAATAAATTGGCTAAAAACGGAAAAGTATATAAAAAACTCATTTAAAAAAGCAAAATCGACCAAAAATTCGAATTTCTACCTATTTTTTAACTATTAGGTTGTTCAAATAATTCTGAGCCCTCTGATTCCGAAAATTTGCTAACCCAGGGAATTTGCCTTGAAAGATTTTGAGGGCAAAAAATTAATTTTTGAAGGCACAGAATTAGTTGGACAACCTAACAAAACATTATTATTTTTACTATTCGGCCAAAAATATTAACCATCATGAAAACCACCGCCCACCTTTGACCTCCAAGCTTCTATCGTCCACTTTTCGCATTCCGTTCGCACATTCCCAAACACAATGGCCTCAAGCAGCGACGAATGGACGTTTCGAATATTATAGTATAGAAACACAGGACTCAGCGTTTTAGGGCCGCCCGATTAAGCGAGGCGCGCCTTCCTCCAATCGACCGGTCGCCAGGTAACCGCCGACGCATGCGCACACTCTCGTCCCCAAATGTCTTAAGGGCGCGACTTTCTCAGCTGTCACAAATCCGACAAAAATAAACCCGACCTAAGGCTTTAGCTAAGGACATTTTAATCGGTCATGTTTAACATAAATGTTGAGCTTGTAATAACATAAACTTGAAGATTGAGCTTATATTGTGATGAAGAGGAGCGCTAAAGTCGTCATATTATAATGAGATAACCACGAATTTTAATAAAACCATGGATAATACATCCTAGAATGCATTCTATTCTACTGAAGTTCATAAATATATTTAGAACTTTCCATAATTTTTTTGAGAAATTACTTATTTTTAAATAACTGGCAGAAAAGCACACATTTTAAAAATAAAACAGATCTGAAAGCTTGCCTGCGCGTATTTTACAATATAAAATTAGTTTTAAAAGTTACTGTAACAATTGTATTTACAACATTGTGAAATTCATGAAAACAAACAAAATTTTTCTTCAAACTCGCGGCTTTTTAGCTATTCTTCGAGTTTTTGGCGTTCTGTTTCATAAAAAAGCGCCAAAAATATATTATTTTTTAGGAATTTTGAAATAATTTCAACGTAAATCAAGTAAAACTTGTTGTAAATACTTGTTTTACAGTGTTAAATTGATAATGGACGATCTTACAGATGCTGAAAATTCAGACACTTTGTCTTTTATGCCTTTGTAAGTTTATTTGGAAGTTTGAACAAGTTTACAGTTATTTTTTACTTGTTTTTGAAGACATTTGTCTTGGTTTTGATTTTTCTACAAAGTTAGATGAGTTTTGTTATGTTTTGACGACTTTTTAATGTTGTTTCAGAGTTTAAGTATGAATTTTCAGAGGATCAGGGCAAGAGGTTGGAAGGTCATGTCACTTTTTAAGTTTCAAAGGCAAGAACATCATGGTAAGTTGTTATAGTTATTTGTTTTGTAATTTAGAGAAGCTCTTTGAACTTGATGTTTTGACAAAAGTAATGGAAAAGCTTTATAATATTGTTAATAAACTATTTATAATATTTTCTTGCAGTTAGACTGTGGAATTCATCCAGGAATGCACAACTTTGCCGCTTTACCGTTTGTCGATCTTATTGATGCTGAATCTCTCGACCTGATTTTGATCACCCATTTTCATCTTGATCATTGTGGAGCTCTACCTTGGTTTCTGAACAAAACTGGTTTCAGAGGGCGATGTTTCATGACTCACGCTACGAAAGGCATCTACAGGATGATGCTGGGGGACTACATCAAAATGTCAAAATATGGATCAAGCAGTGATAAAGCCATTTTCTCAGAACAAGACTTGGAGCGAAGTTTGGAGAAGATTGAAGTAATTGATTTCCACGAGCAGAAGGAAGTGAATGGCATCAGATTCTGGCCATACGTCGCTGGACATGTCTTAGGTGCAGCCATGTTTATGATTGAGATTGCTGGCATTAAGTTGCTTTATACTGGCGATTATAGTGTACTAGAAGATAGGCATTTGTGTGCAGCGGAAGTGCCGGCTATTACTCCGGATATTCTGGTGTGTGAAGCTACTTGTGGTACTCAAATTCATGAAGGTAGAGAGGAAAGAGAGAACAGGTTCATCACTATGGTTCATGAAATTGTTTCGAGAGGAGGAAGATGTTTGATACCTGTGTTTGCTTTGGGAAGAGCTCAGGAGTTGATGTTGATTTTGGACGAGTATTGGGAGAAACATCCGGAGCTACATGATATTCCTGTTTATTGTAGGTTTTGGGGTCTTGATAAGTAAATTAGTTGTTTGATTATTATTTTTTGGGTAATGGATGGATCGAATTGTTTAAAATTACGATGTTTATAGGAATATTTTCTTGAAAGCACTTTATTTTAGTTCTTTTATTAAAAATATTGTTTTAGATGCAAGTTCATTGGCAAAGAAGTGTATGGCGGTTTACCAGACGTTTGTTAGTGGTATGAATCAAGTTGTAAAGAATCAGATTTCTTCAACTGGAAATCCATTCGTTTTCAAGCATATTTTGAATCTGAAGGTGAGTGCTTATTACTTTTAATTTATTGTTACCTAAAAAGCAATGTTGTTGGTCAATATCTAATCCTTTTTTAAAGGAATGAAGGTTTCTTTACAAAGAAAATTTATATTATACTAAAGGTAGTGCAATACTTTTAAAAATACTCTAATTTTTTCAAAATTTGTAGACAATCGACCACTTTGACGACGTAGGCCCATGTGTAGTCTTAGCCAGTCCAGGAATGCTGCAAAACGGCCTAAGTCGAGAGCTGTTCGAGCTATGGTGTCCGGACTCGAAGAACGGATGTATTATTGCTGGTTATTGTGTGGAAGGTACGCTGGCCAAACATATTTTGTCAGAACCAGAGGAGATTGTGGCTTTGGCCGGACATAAGTTGCCAATGCGATTGGAAGTTGGATATTTCAGTTTTACTGCTCATGCTGATTATAAACAGACCAGCAAGTTTATTGACCAGTTGAGGCCGGCTCATTTGGTAAGGGAGTGGTTTCTGTGGGGTAATTTGGGTTTTGTATTTTGTTGTATAAATTTTGGTTTGGGATATTGTTTTAGGTTTACTTGCTTTTGTTTTTTATTGTCTTTGAAGTTTTTTAAGCAATATTTTTTTGTTTTTTTTTTAATTAAAAGTTCAATTTGATTAGAATTCAGTTAAAAATTATATTTTTAACGCTAATGTTTGTATTTTACATCAAACCTTTTCAGATTCTAGTCCACGGCGAAATGAACGAGATGAATCGACTAAAAGCTGCCATTTCTCGAACATACGAAGACGATCCAGAATACAAAATTGAAGTTCACAATCCCCGAAACACAGAGACTCTAAACCTATATTTCCGAGGCCAAAAAACGGCCAAAGTTGTGGGCGAATTGGCCACTAAACCTCCGATCGATAACAATATTATCAGTGGAATCCTGTTGAAAAGAAACTACAACTTCCATTTGTTAATGCCAAGCGATCTCAGTGTATATACCGAGCTGTCTACGTCGACTGTAAGCGAAAGGAAGAGCTTATATTATAATGGAAGACTGCCACAGTTGATGTACAATCTGGGACAGTTAACTGAGAAATACACATTGAATCAGATGCCAAAGAGTGATTCGAAAAAGGAGGAGCCGGATTATGTTATCAAGATGTTCGATGTAGGTTTATAATTTGTTACGGTAGAGTGACGAAACTAATTTCGAAAGTTTTAATGAAAAATTATACTAATGTGTATAGGTTATGTCATTAATATTTCAAAAAATGAAGGATAATATAGATTTTAAACTCCAAAATAAAAAATAATAGTAAAATATTATTTTTCAGAATCAAATCGAGCTAAAATACTATCAGAAACACTGTGTGATCCTAATGGAATGGCTATCAACACCAGTTACAGACATGTATTCAGATGCCATTATGTCAGCGATATTACATGCCCAAACCAATCATATTCCACTGAAACGTAAGGAAAAGGCTGAAGATTTAGTTTTTTAAAGTTTTTTAAATTATTGCGGCTTTTCTATTGTTATGAAGTTGTTATAAGGGTCTTTATATTGATATGAAGTTGTTATAGAGGTATTTATCATGATTACTTTAGAGTTTTAGTATTATTTTGAGTTTTGATGCCTAAAAATAGAAACAAAATATAATGTTTGGATTTCAGACATTCCAAAGCCGATAAAAGACCTGGTGAAAGAAGCACAAGAAGAGAAAGACCTGAAAGAACCAATAGAACATAAACTGGACAGATCAACTGCAACAGAAAGCAGAATGAATGCTTTCAAATCAGCGATCCGAGAGATCTGTGGCGCTGTTGAGATTGTTGAAGAGGAGAACATACTAAAGATTACTGTCGACGGAAAGGAAGCAACACTTGACACGACAAACATGCAAATCCAATGTTCAGACCTACTTATTCAACATCTTTTGGGCTCGGTTTGCCAAAAGGTTTCAATCGCATTGGCTCCGATCTAAGATAGGTAAATGGCGTCGTGGTGACGGAGTCATTTTATAAGTTATGAGATGTTTGTCATGGAGATGAACATTCTTGTTGAGAGGTATTAACATTATGTGTCATTGGATATTGATGTAGTACGAATACCGGTGGATGTACAGCAAACACTAATCAGGATGATCTGTCATTTTTAGCCTTATCTCGTGTATTGTCAACCTATTTATTTTGTTTCAAACTGTAATTTATTTTTTAATAAAGTCTGCTTTGAATGAGATGTATGTATATATTACTCTGAACTACCAAGATATATTTGGTCTGTTATAAGGTATTATTTATTTATATTGAGTATACGTACTTTTGCTTTGCCATAAATGTCGCTTTCCACCGTAAAAGGAGATTCATACGTTTACATGGCTTTTTGAAGCGATATTTTCAGTGAATTTGATATTTGTTGATTAATGGATATTTTTGCCTTGTTGTGTTATACAAAGTGTTGTAATTTATATTATTTGTTGTTTGAACTGTTATATTTGAATAAAGAACAAAAAACCCGATGAAAATAGGTTGAGCTTTGAAAGAATTCACATTTTCATATGTTGCAGTAGGTTTGCAACACATTTCATCGTATAAAACTAACCTTTGCACAGCTGCGCCCAACATGGCCGATCTCAATTTTACAAAACAGGTTTGCCGCGCCAAATTGTAGGCTTTGTCGGTTCATATTATGTTAGAGCAGAAGAACTGGCCGTTTAGGTCTGGCCCAGGCTTTCAATCGCGTCTATCTGGTCTTTGGCTTATATTAAACATGATTTTGGTTTTTTTTTCAAAAATATAATCGAAGCGGGTCTGCTTTTGGGCTTGGGCTTGAAAACTAGGCTAGGACTATTAATAGCAATTTCTCGCTTCTTTTTCGTGTCGTTTTCGAGTGCCATCTTTGATTATGTTGTGATTGTTCAGTTTACAGATGTGTAAAACCCGTAAACCTCAGTATCGCCAAGGCTTTCGCATTCAAAGTCCACCACGGCCAAAGAACAACAACAATAAGCAGGAGGAGAGTTTTGATGAGCTTTTCAAGAATTCGAAACCATTCCGACCTGCCCACATTCCGCCTGGATTTGCGGGTACAGGCGTTGGGAAGGTGACTGATACGCTATATGAGATTTACAATCTGGCTGTCCCGGGCGGACGGTTCTGTAAGTGTTTTCTTGAGTTTAATGAGGATAGAGAAGATTTTTGTTGTTGGGAAAATTGAATTGAAAGTAAGGTTTTGGTTGTAAAAATTGTTTGAAGTCTTTCTGGGTTGATAAGGTCAAGTTGAAGATGTTTTTGGTAGATGTAAATGTTGTTTTTGCTCTCAAAGGTCGGGTTGAAGTTTCTTTTGGTTTAAAAGGTCTTGTTCAAGATGTGTTTTTGTCGAAAAGCGGTTTTAGTTGTTATTAAGGGGATGTAGAAGAGTTTTTTCTTCAATAATATGCTCTTTGATTGTTTGATTTGTTTCCAAGTGTTATATTTTATTGGTTAAATGCAAGAAAGTGTTTATATTGTTGTAGAAAAAACGAAAAAGATGTGTTTTTAAGTTTATTGCCTAAAAAATCTTCTAAAGTTTATATGATGATAGAGAAAACAATTATTTTAACGGTCTTGACTAAATTTATAAAAAATGTAATTTCTAACCAGAGGCTGGCTTAAAATTGATCAATTTCTCAAAATCGGCCAATATCTAATGTGTAAATTACCGCATAACAATTCGCGTTGTGTTTTTCTTCTTGTTATACTATTTTACAGCAGATGTTGGAGTCACGGATTGCGAAGGCGAGCGATATGTCGTCAAGATGACCGATCATGAAGTGTCGCACAAAAGAGAGGTTTGTATTTGTTAAATTTATGTTTTCTGTTGCTTTACAAGGTGTATAGGAAGAGATATTAGGTTGTTCAAATATTTTGAAGATTTTTCTTTCAAAGCCAATTTTTAGGGTTCGAGGGCACAGAATTATTTGAACAATTTAATATATCCGTAGGCAGGGGCGTCGCTACGACTTTTTCTGGGGGGAGGGGGGTGGAGACCCAAAAAATTTTTTTGGTCTACAGGTAGCTAGCCCCTGTGGACCGAAAAAAATTTTTCCGATTTTTCGCGTGCGGGTACCACCTACCTGTGGAATTTTTTTCGGATCGGCTCTGGGGGGGTGGATCCAAATCACTTTTTTGTCAATGAAGTTGATTTTTACAGTTTTCTAGTCTTTAAACCAAACTAGGTATGCCTATTTTTAGTGAGTTTACATTGGTAATATCAAACCAGTGACCGATATTGTTTTAGGTTGCTATTCTTCGAGCTCTCTACCAAGGCTACTTGAAAGGTCTGCCAAAGGCCGGACCTTTCGTCTACGACTACGGTTTGATGGACGAGAGTAACACTGGTTTCATTGTGAGCGAGTTGTTGTGGTTTGATTTGAACTATATTCAATTGTTTGGTTACAACTACACTCCACAGACTAGACTCAAGCTTGATATTATGGTAGGTGATACTACCTAAACTTTTGGTATTACTCTGCCATATGGATGTGTGAAAAGAATAAGTCTCGCTGTTTCAGAAAGTCCGAGCTCTTCAACGTCTTCATGCGTACAACATTTCGGTTTGCGACATGAAAGACTCAAACTTCTGCTTCACCCGTCCTGATTCCAACGAACCGTGGAAGCTTCACTTTGTCGACTTTGGACAAGCCAACTTTTTCCGAGAAGAGGACCTGATTGAGCTGGACGATTTGGCTAGAACCCGCAGATTTCACTTCAGTCGCTTGTTCAAGAACTCCAACATGAACCGTGCTCATGGCTTCAGTCACACTGTAAGGGTTATTATATGTTTAAGTGAGGTTTGGTACTTAAAATGGGGTTTTGATACTGAAATTTAGACCTTGGTACTGAAAGTGGAGATTTCATATTGAAAGTGGGGCCTTGGTACTGAAGATTGGGCTTTTATACTGAAGTTTTGGCGTTGCTACTGAAAATGGGGCTCTAATACTAAAATGTGGGCTTTGGTGCTGAAAGTGGGGATTTGGTACTGATTATGAGGCTTTGGCACTTAAAGTTACTCTTTGATACTGAAAGTCTGGTTTTGGTACTGAAGGTTGGGCTTTAGTACTGAAAATAGGGATTTGGTACTGAAGGTTTGGGTTTTCATACTAAAATTTAGGGTTTGATACCGAAGATTAAAATTTTAAATTTCAGCGTCGTGTCCCCTACGACAACATGGAGAGCCTCCTGTACGCCATTGGTACTCTTCCGGGTGGCAAAATCCCAGAGACCAAGTTGAGGTGTTTCACTCCCGAGACCTACGAAAAGACCAAGATCTTCTTTGGTCATCAATACCATGGCATTTACGAAATCTTATGTAAAACTCGGCGGTCAGACCCGTTTCCCTACGACGTGGTAGTGGCTTCGCTCTACGCTCAACTCAAGATGCAAGTCGAACGAGACCTCAAGTTCAACATAAGACCGGAGACCGAATGCATGATTATCAAAGATGGCAAACGTGAACTCTTCGTCGATGTGGTGCCAAAGGAGCAACCTATTTCGACCTTCTGAGGAAAGTACGTTTTTTTTTGAGGATAAATGCTTTTTATTCTGAAGATACTACGTATCTCTTACTCCACAAATTTGCTTTGAAATGGGCTCAGAATTAAATGCACAATCTAACAAATACGTAAAAATTATTTGTTTTGTAAAAATTTTTTACGAAACTTTTTTTGAAATTTTTATATATTTTGTTGTTTTAAATGATTTATCTTGTTTAATGTTATTGTAGTGGTATAACAAGTAGTTTTGGACACAATAAGCACCGTTTTAGAAAATAAACCTAAAACTCAGATTTTTAATTAAAATCGAAATTTTGCACCTAATTTTTTGTAAAAACAAGAAAATTTTTAATTTTTTAAAATTTTTTGAAAAAAGTCTGAAAAGAATTTATAAGACGTTAAACAGTATTTGTTATACTATTTTTTATCAGTTTTTCTTTTGTTTCAATTTTTTCATATTATAATCTATTAGGTTGTTCAAATAATTCAGTGGCCCTTAAACACGAAAATTTTTCTTTGAGATAACGCGCAGAATTATGTGAACAACCTAATTTTTGAAATTTCAGCTATATTTTTTGTTTTCTGCTGATTTTTAAAACAATTTTTCATCTTTCAATTTGAAACTTGTTGAAACACTGCTAATGTTTCCGTTTTATGAATTGCCTTTTCTAATGTTATCTAGCTTTTGTATTGTAATTACTTTTGATTATATTTAATATTATTTTTTAAGTAATATTATCATGTATGTTTGTTTTATTTCTCTAATATATTATAATAGAATGCTTGTTTCATTTCTTTAACCTCACTTTTTTATTTAGTATATCAGATACTAATGTTGAATACGGTCTGATTCATTTCATTTCGAGCTTGTTTGGTCTCCAAATGGTGTTGTTATTTTATCTTTTGTTTTAATAAACTTGTTTGTTTTTTTACTTATTTGGCGCTAGGACAAATGCGGTTTTTGGACATTTGCGGATCTGCGGTTTTTAGACACTTGCGGATCTTCGGTTTTGGACACTTGCGGATTTTGGACATTTGCGGATTTTTTAAAGGGGTTTTTTTTATTTTTTATTTAATTTAGTTGTAGTATGGTACTAAATGGTACTAAAGTTTAAATTGGCACTGTTTTAATATTTCTTAATGTTAAATAGTACTAAATTTTTAATCGGTACTGTTTTTATATTTTTGGTACTAAATAGTACTAAAAGCCCAAAAAGGTACTGTTATGTTAAAACCGCACCAATTTAAACTTTAGTACAATTTAGTACCATACTACAACAAAATTAACTAAAAAATAAAAAAAGACCTTTAAGAAATCCGCAAGTGTCCAAAAACCGCATTTGTCCTAGCGCCACTTATTTGTGTTTGAATATGAGTATGTTTGGCAGGGAATGAGAAGTTTTTTTGGGTAGAAAGCATGCTGGATCAGATGATTGGGTTGGGGAGGCTAATAAAAGTTTTAAAATATTGATTGAAAAGGTACAATTAAAAAAAATGAAAATCTTTTGCTGTACTGCTTACTAAAAAAATTTTTATTACTTTTTTCAATGCAAAATATAGGGCGGTTTCAGAATTTTGGGCTTTGTTAAAAGGAGCTCGAGCTCTATACAAGAATTTTCTTATATTGGAAGTTTCTTAGTATGCCAACTTTTATTTTACCAAATAAATATAATTTTTGAAGCATTTTATAATAGTATTTTGATTGATAAGCACAATATTATGGAAAAATGAGCAAAAATTTATTATAATATTGTGGTTCTGAAGCTTATTTCAATAAAATTTTATGATTTCCAAGAATATTTCAGTATAATATCGTTGTGAACATCACTTTATGATGTTATTCTTGCTACCTTTTGAGAATTGATAACTATTTTACTTTGTTATATGTGTATATTACAAGCGTGAGCAATGTTAAAGTGTTTAGTATTATTTTTGCTATTTGGTTTATCAATATTACATTCTTTTGGCGGTGACGTTGCTAGGCCTCACAAAAAAGATGATCCTGTCCACGTAAAGGCCTTTAATGACAGTATAGTAAGTTTTTTTGATAGTACTCTAATGCTTATGGTTAATAAAATGATTTTGATGCTTATGGTTTAAATTTTAAATTTCAATTAGTTTTTAAAGGTCCAAAAGGCTTTAAAAAGTAATTTAGGCCCTGGCCAAGCGCGGCATATGGATCAAGATGCGAGAAGAACGCCGCGAGCTGGTGTTTCTCAAACTCAACTCTATATTAGCCAAAATGACCCTAACCGGCTTCATTTTCAGTATGAATTTGAATTATAGACATCGAAATGATGCAAACGAATCGGTTTGTCATTATGTTGAATGTGTTAAGGAAGATGGACTATTTTCGAATTTTGAATTTACTCCTTGTGCTCCCAAATTTTCTAACATTACGTTTCTTGGCAGTTAAGAAATGTCATTTTTTTTGCTTTTGTTTGAACGCTTTTTGAAAATATTTTATTCATTTTTTGAATAAAAGTGACAATATATTATAGTAGAATTAAAATTATTTGATATTATTGAATTTTTGAAAGTAGAATTGAGCAATGAGAAGTGGGTTAAAGGAAAGGAGCGTGTGTTCAGTTCCAGGCGGGTTATTTTTATATTTTTAGTTTGGGGAGGGGTGACTAATGAATTGAGAGGTCACAAAATTTAAATTTTTCGACGAAAATTAACAAAGAACATTTTAAAGTATTTCGAAATAAATTTTTATTGAGGGGTATGTAGGTGTGTAAAGGGCTCGTTTTTAACTCGGCCTGCAAGCCCACGTGTGCTCGCTAGCTCTTTTTAAGTTTTCTTCGGCCCGGCTGGGGGGCTGAGATGGGCTTACAAGGAAGGTACCCGACCTGCAACGCTCAGATTTAGTTCATAATTTTTTAATTGAAAGATCATGTAAATGGAAGATCTTATGAGAAATTCTAAGTTGCGGTTTGCGGCCACCCTTGAGAAATTCGACATCAAAAAATTGCGTTTTGAATTTTCCGCCAAATTGGCATAGTGTTTCAAGCTTATAACTTTCTTATTTTTTGACTTTTAACTATTTTTATTTAATATAATGATTGAAAAGCTTCAAATGAACCTGCAATTTTAAATTTGTAAGCCCATTTTGTCTGGAACATCAAAAAAAGCGCTTGCAACACAATGCCAAACCTGCCAAATTGGCGGGAAATTTAAATATGTTAATTTTAAAACTTAAAACCGCAAGCTAAGATTTTTTATACGTGCTGCTGGTACTACATAGAATCTGTATAAAAATTTTGAGCTAATTCTGAGAGTTGCAGGTTGGGTACTTTCCTTGTTAGTAGGCACTCATTTAGTTTTAGGTTAGTGAGGTTCTCTCGGGCATGAACATCAAACAGGTGAGTTAGAGGTTTTAAGATAGGACCGGCCTCAAAGCTTAATTTTTAAAATTCATAGAGGGTAGGTCCAGCAAAGCACAGTTTTTAAATGCCCTGTACCTAAAAAGTACAAAAATGTAACGCTCAGTGTAAAATGCATTGTAAATGCCCTGAGGGCTTGTCCCTGGCCTTGAAAATATACTAAAAGACTTGAACTAAAAACCAAACACCTTTATTATATTACTAGTACTTTATTATAGTAATATATATGAAGAGGTTTGCGATTACTTTATTATATGATATTGTTTAAATACGCATTACGTATTTTACCAAATATAATCAGGGAAAGTTATTTTAGTATAATGTCTGGATTGATAATCAGTTTTTCATTCTAAAATAAGGAATATTTTAGTATAAAGCTTTGGTCATATAGATAGATCATTCGATATTGTGATTGTAAAGTATATATTGTTATAAATTGAGATTTTGGAATAATTGTATCATATTGGATACCTATTTGATTATTAATTGATTTAAATTTACATTGTCGTATGTTGTGACTGAAAGTGCTAAAAATGTTAAAGTGTCTAGCAATATCATTGAGTATCTATTTTTATACCTTGTTCTCTTTTGGCATTGACCTTCCTGGAAAAGACGATAAAGATGATCCGGTTCACATAAAAGCCGTCAATGACAGTATTGTAAGTTGTTTATTGATTAGACTAGAAAGGAGGCTCACTAAACTCAGCTCCGGTGTTTTACCGGTCGAATATGGCTTTTTTTGGTCTGGTCCGATTTTTTTTGGACCGGTCCGATCCGGCTATGCTTTTATGTTTGCTCAAGTTTTGTTTAGTCCGGACGGAGACAAAATCCAGTTCAAAAATTTTTTGGACTGCTTTTTTGCTCTGTTTTGAGTATGTTTGGATCTTGTCCGGCTATGATTTTATGTGTGCTCAAGTCCAGTTTAGTCCGGACGGAAAAAGTCCAGTTCAAAGTTTTTTTTTCGGACCGGTCCAGACTAAAAATATTTTTGTTGAAAAGCTTGTGGTTTATAATTATTTTAATTTAGGCTTTAGCCAAGCGCGGCGTGTGGATCATGATGCGAGAAGAACGTCGTGAGCTGGTGTTCCTCAAACTCAAAGGGATAATGGCTAAAATGACCATGACCGGCTTCACTTTCAATATGATTTTTGAGTATAGACATCGAAATGAGCCAAACGAATCGATTTGTAAAGCTGTCGAATGTGTTAAGGACGATGGAGTTTTTTCGAATTTCGAATTTTCTAAATGTCCCAAGCCTGTTAATATAATAATTCCAAGTATAACAATACCCGTATAAATTATTTGGTTGTTTAACTAATTCTATTATTTTTTTTTGAAGTTTTGTTTTGAGAGAAATTTTATTTTACTTGAAAACTAATGTTATGGTATTATGATGTGTACGGTAGAACTATTTGTAGATATAATAGCATGGATTGGCTAGGACTGGGTGGGCCTGGTCTAAAGTAGTAAAAAGTTTTTTACATGTTGGTGGTAGAAAGTAGCTGATTAAGGTTAATGTAAGGGTAGGGCAAGGCAAAGCAGAGTAGGATAGAACAAAGCTAGGCTAGCAAAGGACTAGGGCATGGGGGAATAGGACGTGCTTAGGGCTAAGGCAGGTCAGGGCGGCGAAAAGCAAGGCAATTTAAGAAAGGTAGGGTAGGGTAGGGTAGGGTAGGGCAGGGTAGGGTAGGGTAGGGTAGGGTAGGGTAGGGTAGGGTAGGGTAGGGTAGGGTAGGGTAGGGTAGGGTAGGGTAGGGTAGGGTAGGGTAGGGTAGGGTAGGGTAGGGTAGGGTAGGGTAGGGTAGGGTAGGGTAGGGTAGGGTAGGGTAGGGTAGGGTAGGGTAGGGTAGGGTAGGGTAGGGTAGGGTAGAGTAGGGTAGGAATGGTAATGTTAAGTAAATCTCTAAATACCTACAAAACCACAGTAAATACAACTCAAAAATGTCACCCCAGGTGTGATATTTACTCGGATCATAAATCCGAAAGTAAGTTGAAGCGTGCTTTGACTACATTCCGACCGGCGACATCGAAAAACAACAAAATAACAGGCCCTGCGGGCACAGCTGTTTTCCAATCTCACTTCAGCCGGTTGTCAGTTGGGACACGAACTGATCGGTTAACTCGACCAAATATTAATAACTACCTCAGCCAGCGGCATTCCCAATCAATGACTGTTCACTTCTTCGGCGAATCTCATCGCACTTTTTTCGGTCATGTTCATATTGTTGTAGGTGGTTTTTCTTTGTTTTTTTTCTTTGTTTATCTATATTAACATAGGGTTTTAGATATTTTTTATATTGAAATGGGTTTTTGAATGTTTTTATATGCCTACATAGGTTTTTACTTGCTTTTTTCACATTAAAGTTTAATTTTTGAAAATAGAAAAACAGCTATTTTTGTTTTGAATTAGAAGTTTTTTTTAAATTGAACTTGACATAAAGGCTCTTTTAAAATGTAGTAGCAACAGTATTTTTTAAAACTTGGCTTTTCTGGTACCTGTACAACTCAATTTTTGTTGTTATATTCAGAGTTCTTACGGGGTCCGGAGCCGGAGCTAAAATTTAAAAAAAGGCGGAGCCGGAGCTGGTGCCGGAGCTGAAAATTTGAAATTTGGAAACTGCTTATAGTACTTGTATGCCTTTTACAGGCTTATAACTTTAGGAAGAGTATTGGTATAGTACTTGTATTAGGTGCCGACATAAAGAGCCCGCCATACGTTTGCTGTAATTCCCTGTAAAAAATGGCGGGTTCTTTATGTCGGCACCTGATACAAAGCTAAAAGTGTAGTTATAATTTCAGTACCATTATAATATTAGTACTAATACTCTTCTTTTACTTCCTTCTATACCATTTACACTTTCAGAATGGTGGCAAGCTAGCAGTGATAGCAGAGTTGATCTCGTTGATAGTAGAAACTTACATTTTCTCTACTTTTATCGGTTTCGTCGACGCTTTCGGGGTGGCACAGATCAGTTGGTCCTTGTTTAGTTGTGCTTCATGTTGTGTCGGCTTTTGTCGACAAAAATATCACTTCTTTTGGCCGTTAATCATTTTAAAGGTGGGTATCATCATGCTTTATTGATTACTTGTTATTTATTAGTGGAGTTGTAATTTTGGTTTGATGAAGGGGGGGGGGAAGCTTTTAAGAATAAGTATAGAATTTAGTTTTTTTGGCAAAAGGAGGGGTTAGACATGTAAAGTGACTAGAAGCAGGGCCGGGCGCTAAGGGGCGGGGAGTGGAGAAGGGGGGGCCAAAAAAATTTTCGTAAAAAGTTGAAAGTAGTCCATTTTGTGGATTTTTGGAAATAATTTTTTTGGCCCCCACCCCCAGACCAAAAGTCTCCGCCCGGCCCTGGTTAAAGGGCCTTGGTTTGATGGGCCCGGATTTACCGGTTTGATCCTATTTAAATAAGCTTGAACACGGCCGTCAAAAATTTCGCTGCGGGGACTAAGCTGAGACTCTAGGGCCTTCATTTGGTCTTGGCTCCTCAATTCTGCACGATTCGGCTAGGCACTTTTCAAATTCGTTTAAACTTGGCTCGGCCAAGGCTAGTGAGCTCGTTTTTACAATTTGTTAGGACTGGGTCAAATCTATTGTTTACCTTTTGAAAATATTACAGAACTTTCTCTATATAAGCAACCCGAAAGGACCGACATTTTTTGTTCACTATAAGGGGTGTTGTTTTTACAGAGAGGCTTTTTAGTACAAATTGGCTTAGCGGGACTAAAATTTTTGTTTACTATAAGGAGAGTTGTTTAAACAGATAGTTCACTATATAGAGAAACCACTGTACTATACAAGAGGAACCATTTTAGATTTTCTTTCTTTTCTTACTTTTATGACACTTTTATACTTTTATGAATGATTACTATTATCTAGAATATTTTTCAGATAGTAGAAGTTGTGACCTGTTTAGCATGGATAACATTTGTATTTTGTGCCATGTTCCTTGGCAAAATGGGTTTAAGCGCTTTAAAGTTTATAATCTTATGGAAATTTATACGGGTTGAAGGTAGGCTTTACATGATTTTTATATTACAGTCTTGGCATTTGAAATTGCTTATCTTAGTAATAGTTATATATTGCTCTGCATAATATACAAGTTTATGAAAAATAATTTTTCAGCGACACACCTGATATCATTTGTACTATTCTTCTTTGTAACAACAGTAATATTCCTGTTTACTCATGTGGCGATACTTGATGTAATCTTCCGAGTACAACGGTATTATCGCTACCGTGCTATGGCCATCTACCAAGCAGAACGACAGGAAATTATGAGGAATTTCTTGCCTGATAACAATGTTGTTATGAATGGATTTTAAGTTATATTGCTTTAAAATTAACGTAGTTACGTTGTTTTAAAAATCGTGTCAGTATGGTTGTTAGAAGTTAGATTTGTGAGCATTTTGATACAATTTTATGGCCTATAAAGCCAAAACAACTGGCTTTTAGGCCTATTTAAAACATGTTTTTAGCGACTAAATGTTTTAATTGTACTATTATATGTTATTACGTGTATTTTTAACATTCCTGTGAATAAAAATCATTAAATTTTGTTTGGAGTTTTTTACCCTACCCCACCTTACTCAAACATACGTTACCCTACCCTAAGAAAAAAAAATTCAAGCCTAGCTTTAAAATTTTTAAACAACCCTCGAAATACTAAAACTACTTCCAAATCCCTAAATTTTCAAAAAAAAAGTGAAAATTTCAAAAATTTGCATAAAATACCCAAACCACCAATATTTTCGAACTTTGTGACAAAACGCCATTTTCACTTGATTCGGTGGTTTGGAGAATGTCACAAGCCAGCAATTTTTCCAATTTCCTGGCCCGAAACCGGACGGTAGTGATTGGCGCGGGCGTGGCGCTGATTCTAGCGATGGGCGCGTTCATCGCGTTCAGCGGCGATTGTAAAGACGACGGAATCGCCAAACCCGCCAAAAAACTTTGCTCGAAACGGAAGAAGGTGGGTTTTTTATTTTTATAATTGCCTTGGGCATAGGTTTTTTAACTTTTAAAATTGCCTTAGGCATGGGTTACTGTATTTTTGCATTGGGCGTGGTTTTTTGGGGAATTGTTTGGTTTGGGGCCTTTAAAACAAAATTAAGGTCCATATGACAACGTTTTTTCAACTTTTTGAACTATTTTTGAAATTTATCAAAATTTGGGTAAAAATTTTTAAAAAGCATAAAATTATACACCTACTCGATAATTTTCATTAATGTATATTAAGTTTTGGCAGAGATACATTCAATTGAAAATGTCAAAAATCCAAAAAAGTTCGAATCCGCTTGGAAACTTAACCTTGTTTTAGTCTTTTAAGCTTTGTTTTCGTTTGTAAACACTGTTCTATGTATTTTAAAACGTTTCGAAGATACATATTATTTTTAAAATGATCTGTAAAGTCTATTTTCAAATCGAAAAAAATTCGGTCAAAGAAGTTTTGTGAGTAAAAAAATAGCTTTTAAAGGCGCTTTTTAGGTAACAATACGTTGGAGAGTAAAGAAAAATGGCTGTTTTTAGGTTTTTTTTGTAACGATAGTTTAGTTTTTACCATTTTATAATTTTCAAATGATTTTAAGCCCCAAAAATTCACATTTTCGAAAATTTTCATTTCCCAAAACCTCTTGCCATGGATAATATAACTCCTTTTCAGAAAAAGCGTTCAAAGAAAGGAAGTGACACGCCGTCGAATCGTTCCCACGGTTCATCAACGTCAAGTGGTCCCACTACGGCCGACACCGCCCTCAGTCCGTCGGTACCGGCAATGCCTGCGGCTAACCCCGAAACACCACCAGCGCCGATGACTGAAGGTGGACCACCAGCGCCACCACCAGCCGACCCGCTCTAAACCTTATTTGTTGATCTGTACTGAATAAACTAGGCAGAAATGTCAATTTTAGAAGGTTTTTTTGAAGTTTTGATTTTTAGGTAACAATTTTTGACTTTGAACTAATTTTAAAACAGTTTCAATAATTTAGGTAACATTTTCCCTTTTTCAAAGATTTTCATTCAACTTCCGATATTTTAGGTGACATTTCCCATCAAAATTTCAAAACAAGTTCAATAAGTTTATAGAGTTACTAAAAACTTATTCAAAATCAATAGTGGCATATCGTTATAAGTGGCTTATCGTTACAAGTAGTTGTAGTTCTCGATCAGTTCCTGTATCAACGAAGCGTGATGGTGAGCGAAGTAAATGGTGTGAATGACCGGATGAAAGGCGGTCAGGTAGTTGGTTGGCACGGTCTCCGGAGCGGTCAGGGCTTGTTTACATATCTCTGTTGGTTCGGCTAGAACAAGGTAATGTAGCGGAGGGGAGGGTAAGGTAGAGTAGGGTAGGGTAAGGTACGGCGGGGTAGGGTAGGGTAGGGAAGGGTAGTGTAGGGTGGGGTAGGATAAGGTAGAATAGGATAGAGTATGGTAAAGTAGGAGGGTACGGTAGGATATGGTCTATATTACATTACTCACCAATTGTCTGATTCAAAGCGACCGGTTGATGTTTGGAGAAGTTGATGGGTAATATATAGACCGGGTTCGATACCTTGTAAATGTCCTTCTTTTCCGGCATTTTTAAGTTTTCTCGTTCTGGAATGGTCAAATCGGCGTTTCCACAGTCACATACTAACTGAAAATGGCAAAAGTAAGGTTAAAATCTACCAGTCAATTTTTAGGAATGTTACAGTAATCTACATTAATATGATTTTGATTTTTCAACTTTACCCTACCCTACCTTACTCTACCCACCCTACCCTACCCTAATTTGCTAAGCCTTGCCCTACCACATTAAGTACATCATATATAAACCTACATTGTTCCTCAAATCGGTAGCACTACTGTTCTGAGACGAATTGTCCGACCGGTCGGAAGTTATAACAGAAGTAGTTTCAGTAGCTTTCATTGTTCTCAAATTCTCAGTAGCTGGCGATTGTACCGCCGTTACCGTCGTGGCTACAGAAGCTACTGAAGTTGTTGACGATGTTGGTATATGACGAATCGTTGCTGCACTTGAATCTGTCTGTAATTTAGGTATAGTAATAGAAAATACGAACTGTATATGACGGCGGTTTTACTGTACTGTAGAAAAAAATATTGAAATTACAAAAAAAAAGTTACAGTACTCACCTCCGTGTTCAATGAAGTGACACTAATAGCTGAACCTCCGCCACGCTCGTAGACTCTTCGCTGTCGAAGCGAAGCTCGACTAGGATTGGCCAATTCATGTTGCTTCTTCAAGTACAATCCGCCTAACAGAATCAGGAGCAGCACTAAAAGTACGAGAGCAAATTCCATGGTCGATTTGGGACAAAATCGACCGGTTGGGAAAAAGAAAAATAGAAATAGCAATGGGTTTTGAAATTGCTTTGAAATTTTGGAAATTTTAAAACCTGAACATCATTTTTGGTTTTTTTATTCTACCCTGCCTTGCTCTGTACTACACTGCCTTGCCTAAGCTTGCCCTGCTTGGCCCAGCTTAGCCCTTACTCGCCCTGTCCTGCACTTCCCTGCCCTGTTATACCTCGGCATGCCCTCCCCGCTATGTTCTTTTACCGTGCCCAGCCTCGGGCTGTCCTGCTTTGCCCTGTGATGTCGTTGCCTTGACTTTTCCCGGTGTTCCCTGCCCTCCTTTACCCTGCCCTGCTTTACCCCACCCTGACTTTCTTGGCCCTGCTCTGCCTTTTCCTGTTCTATCCTATTATGCATTGCCCTAGCCTTTTCAGCCTTGTCCTACTCTACGCAATTTTGTTTTACCCTACTCGTTCAGTAGCCCCAGGTAACGCCATAACTAAATTTTTAAAATTTATTTCAACGTTCGTATTTAAAAAAATAAAAAGTTCTATTTTAACAACCTAATGAACAAAAACAACTTTGCGACAAGTGTACAAAAAGCTTTTGGCACAGCCTTTATCATCTCTTTCTTCCACTTTGAAGGTGCATCTACAGGTGTCATCCGATGGGTAGCCTGAAACAGGCCAATATTATTCTTCATGAAAGCAATATTAATCTTCATAATGAAAGTTTAGGTTAAAATACACAGTAAAACGTTAAATATCTACCTTAAATATAGATATAGAATGATAATACTTGCTTATAGTTATCTAAACTTCACAGAAATGTATTTTTATTACCTAAATTTAGCCCAAAAACAATATTTTTGCCCCGAAAACCATCAATTTTACCCTGATAAATTGTATATACCTTTTAGAAAAAGAGTTATATTTCAAGTTTCGTAACTCCTACTAAACAAAAAAAGTCATTTCTAGTTAGAAAACATACCTGGGTAGTCCAATTTACAAGTTGCATCGTTGTCAGCAGTCGCTTTTCCATCAGAAGCCGCGTCCAATACACGGCAGTTATAAGTTGGGCCTAAAACAAGATATGATAAATCTCTTATGTTTGACATAAAAAAAAATTTTAAAGATTAATAGACGTATTTTACAATATTTTAATAAAAACACATTTTAGTATTTAGCAAAGAAACGTGAAAAACTCCCGTTTTCTTCAGTTGCAGGCTGCGCTAATTATTTTATACGGTGAAACATGTTTGAAACTACCTGCACCGTATTTTACATAAATTTATCAAAAAAACTTTTATTTAATTTTCAAAAATGTAAGAAAAGACAGTTTTTTGTCGTTGCAGACTGCGTATACCATTTTATACGATGAAACATGTTTTTTGTAAAATTTTTTAAAAACGTGTATAATAACAAAAAGCCTATTTTGGCAACTTTCCATTCTATTTAGTAATATGAAAACGTAAGAAAAATTTTTAAAATTAGAATTTAAACTAAAATTTTTTTTTATTTTTTAGTTTTACCCTCCCCAGCCCTACTCGTCCTTCTTTACTCTACCCTACAGAGTAAGGTATGAAAAAGTCGCTAACAATACTTTTAAAATTTAATTTTTTTTTAAATTCAATCAATATTACATTAGCCCAACTCACCTCTATAACTCTTTGGATTGGTGTGAATGATTGGAGGTGGCAAGATCTTTGGAATCAGATCAATACCTCCATTGAATGTTTTGACTTCAGTCTTATCACCTCTGGTTTCAGTGACTGTAGTCTTTTCATCGATCTTCTCGCCATTTGGACCAATCTTCCAATGTGAAGACCAAGAACGATTCCAAGTCGAAGGAGTGGGTCGGTTAAAGATTGGCAGTGTTGGTGGAGTGGCTGTGGTGGTAATGGGGTTGAATTTGGTCGTGAATTGAGTACGTTCTGTTGTTGGACGTTGAGTTGTTGAGCCAAATTTAAGTTCGACCGTCTTGCCGTGGGTATCTGGAAAGAGGCGAGAGGAGAAGGAGCCAGTACTGAAAAAAGTAAAGTTAAAAAAAGTTTTTAAAGCGTTGTTTGTACTCTTATAAGGCTAAAGTGGAAAAACTAAAGAAGTTGACAATTGCACGGTGCAATTCATAGAAATTGAACGTCTCATTTAACCCGCTGCACTGTGCATATCAATCTTTCTGGAAAAGAATCAGAGATCTGCACAGTGCGATCCCCAAAAAAACCGCAACCCATTGCACCATGCAGATCCCCTGCGATCGCTTGCGACTCCAAACGACAATGGAAAAACTGCACAGTGCAAGCTCCCAGTTGTCGCATTGGTCCGTTGTCGCAAAAATCTGGAGACTTGCGAAAGTCAAAAAAAGATTGTCGCAAACCTTCCATTGAACACAGTGGTTGAGCGTCGCGACAACCGCAACACAATGTCGCATCGCCATTCGAATCGCAACGCAACAAAAAAAAGTCTCAAAGCTTTGCACCCTGCGACATTGCGATTCTCATTGGGATGTCGCGAGGTGCAAGCGACTGTCGCAGATTGTTGATTGTCGCCCAATTTTCGACGCGACAGCAATTTTCTCACGGATTGCACTGTGCAGTGCAGACGCTTTTTCTTTTCCGGAAAGACTGCTACTTTTGCGACAATTGATTGATGTGACAGTTTGGAAGGATTGCACTGTGCAGCCTTCCCACAATGGCTGCGTTTCTTGCACTGTGCAGATGTTCTTTCTTGAGCAACCGTTACTCTGCACAGTGCAGTTGTATAAAACATAAAATCTGCACAGCGCAGTGTGGCAAAAAGTGTTGTTAATTCCTATTGGCTGCGCCGTGCAGTTATTAACTTCATGAGTAAAACACTTCTAAGAGTGCAGGCTGCGTTCACAGATTATTTTGTGTTTTGCAGCCTGCGGTTATTTTTTATACGCTGAAAAGTGTCCCTTCCAAAAAACTTATTTTTTCAGCTAAACTGACCCTACCCTCTCCTACCATACCCTACCTACCCTACCATACCCTACTCTCATCATATTAACATACCCAGTGCCAAGTGACTGTCCCACCGTGATTTCCTGGTTTTTGTTGATAAAGTTTGGATTCCTCCATACCGGCCTGGATACTGTAGATGGGGCTTCTGTAGTTGTAGTCCGCTCAGTCGTAGTAAAGCTCTTAGTAAATGCTTTCCTCGTAATCTCGGACGTGGTAAACACTGGTTTGGGGGTGCTTTTCTCGGTGGTCGTTCTCTCTGTAGTAGTCTTTGTAGTCTTCACCGTAGTAGCTTCAGTAGCTGCTTTAGTAGCCGCTTTAGTAGTCGTGGTTTGTCTAGTTGTTGTAGTAGCCTCAGTTGTAGCTTCTGTAGTAGTTTTGGTTGTTCTAGAGGTGGTTGTTTTGACCTCATCACTGATAATGATGGTCTCCAGAGTAGTTGAAGGAGTGGGTGTGGTAGTTTTGGCTGGACCATGAGTTGGTCGTGTAGCCCGGATGGCCTCGAGAGCTTCTAGAACTGAAGCTGGGGTACTGAATTCTCTTTCTTTTAACTTTCGGGGGGATGGCGTGGACCAGTAAGGCTTTGGTCGAGTCACTATTGGTACCTAGAATTGGTTTTTGTATGTTATCATAGACAAAAGTTGTGTAATATAATTAAAAAATGGTCTGAAACTAAATTATATTGTAGTAGGCAACCATTTGAAATTGAATTATATTGTTGTGGGTAACAATTAAAACTAGATAAGTTAATTTTCTTCAAATTATAACCCTTACCCTGCCCATAACAACATCCTCGCCCCACTTGTGAACATCAAACCTAGGTAGACTAGGTACCAGTTCGTCATACTCGTCTTGTAAATCGACTGTCTTGACCAAATCACCATTCCAATCTTGTTTGTCTGGGTATTTAAATTGTGTTTCATCTGCTATACTGATTGCATTTGGCCCGGCTATAACAATATTATTAAAATAAAACAACATAAGGTGCAGTAACATAGGGTAGGGAAAAACGAAAATTTTGAACTTACTGCCAATTTTAAATACTTTAACATCTACACATTCTACGTGAACTATCAATAGTGTTACCAACGGCGCTAGTATTAGCCAATTCATACCTAAAATGATATGAATGTACTGATTAGAAACTCAATTTTTAATTTTATTCTTGAAATATCGAAGACATTTGAAAATATTTATAAGTTTAGGTATAATTCTACTTATACATGAACATAACAGCACGTTTTCACAATATAAAACAAGTTTATTCTATATAACAAACAGACTGTAAGTTTCCGATTTGTTATACTGAAATTCGCCGTATACGTTTTAAAAGACCATCAAATTTTACCCCGCCGTCAGCGAAAAGAAACAATTTACGAAAAATTACAAAATTACCGCATCACTTTCACCTTACAATTAAGCTCTGCAATAAAAAAGTCCATTGAAATGATAAATGAGAAGAGGAAATTAATTACAATCAAGACAGACTCAACTCGTATAGTTTACTCGTTGTCTTAATATGTAAGTGAGTCATACGAAAAACGTATACGACAAACCCTACGCCCTACCCTACCCTACCCTACCCTACCCTACCCTACCCTACCATACCCTACCCTACCCAACCCTACCCTACCCTACCCTACCCTACCCTACCCTACCCTACCCTACCCTACCCTACTACCCTACCCTACCCTACCCTACCCTAACCTACCCTACCCTACCCTACCCTACCCTACCCTACCCTACCCTACCCTACCCTACCCTACCTTGCCCTAACCTACCCTACCCTACCTTATCCCGCCCCACCCTATCCTACCGTGCCCTACCTTGTCTAAACGTGCTACAGCTTGCTTACACTTGCCCTACCTTGCCTTGTAATACTGTGTCTTGTCCTACCGTGCTTAGTATTACCCTGCTCTGCTTTACCGTACTGTACCGTGCCTTAAATTGACTTACCTTGCCTTTCCTTACTCTGCCTTGTTATATTATGCCCTGTCTTACTTTACCTTGTCTTACCATGCTTTGTCGTACCCTACCCTGCCATGTTCTAATTTACCTTTTCTTATTTTACCCTACTTTGGAGCAAAAAAATTATAGTCTTCCTCCCTCTCCCCCCCCTCTTTCTCAATTTGTTTCTTGACCACCCCTAAACCAACCCTATCCTCCCAACATTAGCCCAGTCCCCCTTACCTACAAAAAATTCGAAAAATGTTTGTTGAAACCGTTCGAAACCCGTTTTTATTCACCGTTGTTGAGGCGGCTCATTAATTATTATTTCTGGCTAAGCGGTTGCAAAAAGATCGGACTGGACTGGGGCGCCAGGATTGTAATGATAATTGATTACAGTGTAATACAAATAAATGACACACAAAGAGAAAGCAAAAAAAAGTGTTTTGGAACTTGTTGATTTTAAAATTTTTTTAAAAAAATTATTGTTTACTGATCATAGCATATAAATATATAATAATTTCACTAAAAAATTTAAAAATGGCATAAGAGAAGCACAGCTATTAGTAATCACAAAGTACTCCAACCCAAAGATCGCTTATAACCGCAGCCTACTGTAACGTGCCCACATATAATGCACAAACTAAAGTAATATTAGACTGTTCAAATAATTCTGTGCCCATTCTATTAAAAATGCAAGTTTTTGAGATCAAAAGGCACAGAATTATGTGAACAATCCAATAATTTTTTAAGGTATTACTTTAAATTTAAAAATAACTTAAAGCAGCTCAAGTTCTACCTTTAGGCTTATACACATTTAAAAAAACTTTACAAAAGTATTTTGAAACGGTTTAAATTTCAAAAAAGACAAGTTTGGTCACCCAATAATTGACCAAACAAATAAAAACGAAGTCGGTTTTAACTTCCAATTGATGGCTTAATTAAGCAAGCCACTTAAATTTGAAGTCAATTTGAAGTCAACTGTTTAAAATTACAATTTAAAAAAAAACAAGTTTTTGCAAATTTCAAAAAAAAATGTTTAAAAACTTAAATTATTTATAGGCCGTATTTTACAAAAAAAGTAAAAGTTATATATTTTGTTATGGTAAGATGAAAAAGAGAAAAGAGAAAAAGTATGGTAAAGTAAGCAAGGCTTAAGTGAAGTTTTATTAGGACTAATGTACGGCTAGTGCAGTGGTAGGGTACGGCTAGGGTAAGACTAAGTCTAGAGCTAAGATCAGGCTAAGACTAGGAAAAGGCTAAGTTTAGAGCTGGAGGAAAACAAAGCATGAATAGAGCGGATATATAAAGTAAGGCTACAGTAAAGCAAGATAAAGACATTTAGAAACAGCGGTACGGAATAGACAAAGTAAAATTAGGCCAAGTTTAGGTCTAAGACTAGAGTACGACTCAGGCAAAGATATAGTGAGAGAAATTGTAAGGCTGAGGCAAATTGGAATCTAAGATTAGAGTAAGACCGAGGCTATGAGAAATATAGAGTAATTAAAGAATAAGATTATGACTAATACAAAGATAGAGTGAAAATAAGTTAAGACTAGGATACGACTAAGTCTAGGGCTACAGCAAAGATAGGGCAGTGGATAAGGCAGATAAAGCTGAGGTAAAACTAGAGCAAGGAAAACGTAAAGGAAACTGAGTATTGTACTACAAGGTTTAAATAAAGTAGCCACTAAACTTTTATGATATTCTGTTAAAAGCATTTATCAGACTATGATGACAAAAGCATATTTAAAATTAAAAAACGTATAATATTTTATTTGCTTTTAATTATAAAACAAAAAAATATGAATAGCTTTCCCTGAACTCCAAAACTACCCCCACATCCAACAAAAGCAAAAGTAACGGTTCTACAGAATGGATAAGAAATATGACTTATCTGAAACCATCTTCACACCTTATATCGGTTACAGGCTCCGTTCAAGTAAAAACAAATTTCGACAATTTCACTTTTTAAAATGTTTGAAGCGGGAAATTCGGAGATTGTAACAAAAATGTTTGGGGAAGACAACAAAAAGAAGGTATCACTGTAATAGGTATGGCTAGGTAATTAATTGATTAATTATTGGGATTCTGGAAGTTAGGAAAGATGATTTTTTCGACAAAAATGTCAAAATAAATAAAAAATTAAATTGCTACAGTAATATAAATGAAAATTTGATTTTAAAAAACTGAATTTAACTTGAGGGGTTTCTCTACTTCTACCTTGACTTTCATTACCCTTACTGTTGCTATAATTTAGCTTTGTTCTAGCCTTTAATTTAACATTATCCTTAATTACCTTACACTGGTTTGTCCTACTTTATCTTTATCTTGCCCGGTTTATTATTAATTTAAATTTATTTCTTGGTACAGACTGTACAGTAGGCTTGCTCTACCTCAAACTTAACGACTTTGTATCAATATTATAATTATGTCTTTTTTTACAGTAAAATTACCTTACATTTACCGTAGCGTTATCCTAGCCTTACTGTATTTCTACAGTAAAACAAAACAAACATAACTCTAGCCCCAGTTCTAACTATTTTGTAGTCTTACTATTGCTTTACCCTAGCTTCACTGTAGCTCTACCTTAGTCTTACCTTATCTTTATCCTAGTCTTATTCTAGCCTACCCTAGCCCTATCTTAACTTTACCCTAACCCTACCTTAGCTCTTCCTACCCTAACTCTACTTTAACTATGGCTCAGCTCTACGTTAGACTTACTATAACTTTATCTTCGAACTTTTCCGTTTGCACTTTTACTACACTATGTATTGTAATACCTTAGTTTTATCCCTACATTTGCTTTACCACTCATCTTGCATTAGGCCTACGAAAAGCATATTCATGTAGTACCATAACCTTATCTTAACTATATGCACACTACAACCTCTATTTTATAATATTAATAATATTTTTGCATTACTCTTGACTTTACGTTGTTTAGTTATTTTTAAACTAAATCTATTTGTAATCAATTTAAATTATTAATATTTCTTTCGAAAAAAAAATATTTCAAAATTTTAAATTTAAAAAACTCTATGTGCTGTTTTGATTTGCGACATTCGTGACTGATTCATAAAGTTGTCATATTTTTAAAGAAGACCCTTCCAATAACTTGTTTTTTCTCATCATCGCCTCGTTTGAGCAATTCGAAATGATCGAAAAACAAGCGAAAGAGAAAACAAAAAGAAGATCTCACAAAGATGTAAGATATCCTAAACTGATTAAACCAGAGTTATCTTTAGACGGTTTTTAAAATTTTTTGAAAAGTTACGTAAAATGTTTTTTAGTCTTAGCTATAACAGACCGGTGATGAGAGATGAAGGGAAAGAGTATAGGATATGTTTTATAACACCATGCCTATAAGTATTCTAAGGTAAGATAGGCTAGAGAGACAGAGCAGGATAGAGCAGAGCAGGACAGAATGGGTAACATAGTCTAGAGCAGGAAAGAACACAAAACAGATAACGTAGGGTAGAGTAGGGTATAGTAGTAAGCTCCTAAAATTTGTAAAAAAAATTTTTTAAAAATTACCCAGCCTGCCCCGCTCAGAGTCAGCTCAATATTTTTATATAAATCCTTACCACTAATAGTACCAATAAAAAATTTTTAACTTGCGTTTTCAGTTTTAAATTTCAAATATTTGAGTTTTCTGACAATCTGGCAAAATTGGCATTGTGTTTCAAGCACTTTTTTTGTCTTTTTAGGCAAGCTACGTTTACAAATTTTAAAGTTTAGGTTCATTTAACGGTTTTCTACTAGCAGATTAAAGAAAAATGTTTAAAAGTCAAAAAACGGCAAAGTTATAAGCTAAAACACAATGCCAACTTGGCGGGAACTTCAAGATATAATTTTTTGACTTAGGTTTTCTTTAAAGCGCAATGTACTACTTTTCTGAAGGGGTTATATTTATTTACATAATCTTTTTATATAAAAAGTTTGAAGTCAATCGGAGCATGGCAGGTCGGGTACCTTCCTTGTGAGTAACTATAGCTCTATATTACATTTGATCTTTATCAAACTTACAATCTAAAATGCCTTTACTTGTACATCTTAACATCTCCTCTTACACTTACACTTTTTCACTCTCGATTCACTTTCACTTTCGTTCGCATCGTTGATGGATTCACCAACGCAAAACCCGAATCGAGGCGTTTCAAACATTTTTTATTCGATTTCATCCGGAGTGCCGGTTTGCGTTAATGTCTACTTCCAAAACTTGATCCAATCTTGTCATTGTCATCAACATATTCGCTCTACAAAGCGAGTTTTGTACTTTACGTGGTTTTGTAGCTAAAGTTTTGGGAATTTATGATATTTTTGAAGAATTTAAAATTGCAGAAATTTTTTTAAAATTTTAAAAAATTTTAAAATTAAAAATTTTTTTTTTAAATTTGAAATTTTTTTTGATAAGATAAAGGGTAGGAAGGAGAAGCTAGGTTGATATAGAGTAAGGTAGAGCTATGATATAAGTTAAAAAAGAGGTTGATAGGGTAGGGTAGCGTAGGGCAGGATACGGTAAAACAGGGCAGGGCATGGCAGGGCAGGACAGGGCAGGGCAGGGCAGGGCAAGGCAGGGCAGGGCAGGGCAGGGCAGGGCAGGGCAGGGCAGGGCAGGGCAGGGCAGGGCAGGGCAGGGCAGGGCAGGGCAGGGCAGGGCAGGGCAGGGCAGGGCAGGGCAGAGCAGAGAGTAGATAGAGTAAAATTTAATAAAATATGGTAAAATACGAAACAGGTAGTGCGTTTGTTTGTAAATTTTAAAATTTAAAATTTTTTTTATGAAATTTAAAAAATTTTTTTTAAATTAAAAAATAAAAAAAAATAAAGTTTAAAACTTTCAGCCGTCTTCAAAATGGCTCAATTTGCTTTAATCTTGTTGCCAATGTTGTTTATCTTATCCGGAGCCATCAAAATCGACGAAGATTTGGAAATGAACTTGGAGTTGATCAAGCATCAACCTTGCAGTTATAAACCAGGTAACCCATCTACTTATAAAAATTTTGAAATTTTGATGTTTATTATTTTTTAAGTCATTATAACTTGTTAAAACCATAGCTTTCGAAATTTTATTAGTATACTGATCAATTTGCTTTTGGATATGTTTCATCGTATAACATGGTAAGCCGCAGTTCGCAATGGAAAAATTTGATTTTTTTTGTAAATAAATTTAATAACAAGCCTTTTGAGGACAAATTACAGCGTTTATAACAGTTTTTAAAGTTAGAAACATAAGTTATATTGTTATAAGACATGTTTCATCATATAATAGTAGTTTTCGCAGGCTGCGCTTCAACTTTTTCTTTCCTTTTTGTAAAATACGTATCCAATTGAGTTATATTCTCTAACCTAATATCATTTCTTGCCTATTTTCTTATATTAACAACTAATTTGCAGAAAAAGCCAAATGGGAGAGAAAAATCGAGTTCCAAGGAGGTACCGACCGGTCGGGACCAAAACTTGTGCCACGACCAGGCACTGACAATTGTTATAGTATTGGTGGACGTGTTGAGGTGTTCAGCGAATTCAAAGGAGAGTTCAGTATCTATTTGGAGTTGAGATCGTCGGCCAACAAGAAGCAGGTACCCGAGACTTGTCAGAAGCAACGTCCAGATGGATGTGGAGGCTTTGGCAGTTGGTAGGTCGGGTTAAAATGGGTATAGCTGTGTTTTGTGGGTTGATATAGGTATGATTAGAGCTTTTAAGGTTTTATAGATATAATTATGTTCTATAGATTTATATAAATGGGTATGGCTATGTTTATTAAAGTAATATAGGTATAGCTGTAGCAAAATAATGTAAAATACGATTGATTAAACCGATAAAAACTTAGTTTTTGTTATTTTAAAACCTAAATTTCATGTTTTTAAGCTTAAAAATGGTATATAAACGATAATATTACCTAATTAAAACCAAATTATTATCTATTTCCAGCCTCTACTGCAACGCCTGTGAAACCCTCGCCCAAGCCAAAGGTGTTCAAGCCCAGCTTTTGTTGGACGGAAAGCCAATTACTTGCCAAGAAGGCCTGAAACCCGGCGTTTACGACAATTTGGAATTAGTTTTCTGTCTCCCCGAAATTGATGACATTTTGACCAGCCAGGGCTTGAGCAAAGAGACCTTCAAGAGTCTGGTTCAGAGCGAGGTAAGTTGTTATCGCAGAGTAATTGTTGGAAACAATTGAATTGAAGGAAAATTTTTAAACAGGAATTTTTGAATTTTAAAAATTTGAAAAGTTAAGCATATACATATTAACCATACAACCGCCCTATCCTCAATCCTAACACTAGCCTTGTCTCTTGGCTTAGTATTAGCTCTAGCCTTAGCTCTAGTCTTAGTTCTAGCTCTAGCCTTGGCTCCAGTCTTTAGCCTTAGGCTGAGACTTACCAATAGCCTTAGACCTAGGCTTGTTCCTAGAACTAGCCTCAGCTTCAGGCCTAGTATTAGGTTTAGCCTTAGACCCAGCACTATCTTCTTTCTCAGTTGTTGCCCTAGGCTTAGTCCTAGCGCTAGCCTTATGCTGAGTACTATCATAGAACTAGACTTAGCCCTAGGTTTAGTCCTAGCAATATCTTTTGTCTTAGGCTTAGTACTAGCGCTAGTATTGGCCTATGCTTATTACTAGCCCTAGCTTTAACCCTATAGCTTTAGTCTTAACCCCGCCTTAGTTTTGGTACTAACCTGGGCTCTAGACTTAATTATATCACCAGCCTTAGGCTGAGATTTCGCTATAGATTTTACTCTAGGCTTAGTAATAGCTTTAGTCTTAGTTTTGGATTTAGTTTTAGTACTAGCTTTAGTCCTAGGCATACCTCTAGTTCAATCTTTAGCCTTAGTCCTAGCTCGTGACCTAGCTTTAACTTTATCCCAAAGTTGTCTTATCCGTAGGCTTGTTCTGTCTTATCCGTAGGCTTGTTCTCAATGCTTAGCTCACTATAACAAGGCAAAAAGCAATACTATCAACACCACTTCCAGGACGGTCAAAACCTCCGTTCCATGGGAATCTTTGCCACGATCTATGTCTTCGACACTGATGTCAGTAAGCAAATGCAAACCCAAGCCAAGGTAGAAGCAGTCTACCGTAAGACCAAGCGCTCCTTCTTCCAAAACGAACCTCTGCCAGCTGAAATCTACTGGTCGTTACCGTTCAACTCAATGATCAAGGAACAGAAAGTGTTCGTGGCTTGTCATAAGATCTACGGCAACATCAAAATATCTTCAACGCAATAATTATTATTTACTTTTACTTTTTGACATGTGTAATATAAAAGTTTTGATCTTAGGCGTGGGTAATATAAAACTTTTCATCTTGGGCATGGACAATCTAAAATATGTCATCTTAGGCATGGGTAATATAAAGGTTTTGGTCTTGGGCATGGGTAATATAAAATGTTTGATGTTAGGCATGGGTAGTATAAAAGTTTTGATCTTAGGCGTGGGTAATATGAACGTTTTTATTTTAGGCATGGGTAATGTATTTTTTCTACATTTTGTTTACTTTTCTGGGTATGATAGTCCTGAAAAATGTTAAAAAAAGTGTAAACCTCGAAATGTATTTTTACTTTTTAAATCTTGCGAGCCATTTCTTCAGAGATTAAAACCCCAAAAAAGAGGTTTCGGCGAGCAAGATCGATGTTCTTTTCGGTATTACTCCTCCATTTGAAAACTATATAGCATTTAAATTTCTCCTTGAGGATTTGCAAAAAAGTCAGCATAAAAGAAGGTTAATATTATTATTTGTTTGTTTTTTGTTATTTTTTATTTTGAAGGTTTTTGAATGAGTAAGAGTGTGGTAAGTTAGGGTAGGACAAGGTAGGGTAGAGTAGAACAGGGTAAGATGGAATATGGTGGGTAGGGTTGTGTAGGGCAAGGTAGGGTAGGTCATGGATGAAAAAGAAGAGTAGAGTAGGGTAGGACAGGGCAGAGTAGAGTACTTGCGCGTAGGGTATTGTAGAGTAGGGTAATGTAGGTAGGGTAGGGCATTGCAAAGAAATTTTTTAAAAAAAATTACTTCTACCCTTTTTTGTCGCTGACGCTAAGTCTTTTTTTCCCTCCCCCCTCTCCTTTTTCTCTCAAGCTCCCCCCCCGCTCTAAAGCTCTCCCCCCCCGCTCTAAAGCTCCCTCCCCCCCCGCTCTAAAGCTCCCCCCCCTCCCCTCTCCCAAGCTCCGCTCTCTAAAAATGAGAAACGGTCTGGGCCTGACCCGAATTTAGGTCGAGCCGGGTTTGAGCAAAATTTTGATCTGTGTCGAGTCTAACATTCAGGCTCGGCCCGTTCCTCATGACTACCTCCCGCTCCTCAAAAAAATTTTTTTTTCAGCTTAAAAGAAGGCACTTTAAATATTGTCTTGTCAGAAATACAAAACCGCTTTGTATACTTTTTGATACTCTTTTACTAACATAAGCACCTATACTTTTTACAAAAAAATTTTTAATTCCCTTATCAATATATTCTCCATTATAAGGCCTACGAGTATTCGCCTACGTTGAGAATGTGACAACGCCCTTCGTGAGGTGCGGCCCCTCGAAGGAAGGGCTAGCTGTCCGAAATGTTTTATCAAAAAACTGTTTCAGTCGTGAGTTCAGTTTTGGAATAACAAAAATAGAAACGTTGCGACAAGCCCTTTTATTCCCAATTATCCTATCTTAACCACGTTTATGGGGCTTTAAACTGTAATTAAGGTTGAGGCGTTCGGTTTGGCACTAGGCTTGGCTATGGGAGGGTTGAAATGGTAATGGTTGTGGGAGGGGTGGAAGAGTGATTGCTATGAGAGGGGTGAAAAGGTAGTGGTTATGAGAGGAGGGAAAGAGAATTGGGTATGGAAGGAGTGAGAGAGTAATGGCTATGGCAGGGGTAAAAAATTTTTTTTGGGGGGGGGGGGTTAACTTTGCGTTTTTCAAAGATTTTTAAAATCGTGCTACTATATTTTACAAATTGTTTAGGTATTATAACAAAAAATGACAAGTAATGGCTGACACAGCACTACCTCACTTCGATCTGCCAGACGAATTCATAACGGGTCAAACTTTTACATATCTTGGTGATAATCTTAATGTAAGCCAACTTTTTTCAATTTTTTATAATGAGAATGTCAGATATACGGCCAGTAAAGTCTAAAATATTATTTATTGTAGCTACAGCTGTAGATAGTCTAAGTTATGCACGCTTTTACTTTTAGGAACTTATATTATTAGGTAGTTCAAATAATTCTGTGCTTCTCTTTAAAATTTTTAAAAATTGCTTTTAATTTTGGAAATTTGCTTTGAAAAAGAGCACAGAATTATTTGAACGACATAATAAAAACTGATTTTCAGGTCAAAGTCGGTGTAGAGCTTCATGTTGTTCATGTTGCTGTAGACAAAACACAGTCAATTTTTTATTGGCGAAACCCGAGATATGTAAGTGTTTTATAGTTTACTATTGTAAAATGGTCTCAAAATCAATTTTAAAATTTAAAAATTAAAAAAAGTTTAAATTTCAAAGGAATTTAAAAAGAAGTTTTAGGTAACAATTTTCAGGATTTTTTTTTCAAAAGTAAATTTTTGAATTTTTCAGAAATCTTTTAAATTTGTGTTTGTTGATGCCATAGTCGATTGCCGGGTACCTAAAAACCAGCCAACAGTTCTACAAATCGTATGCAATAGAAACTTTTCTTGTGCTGAGTTCTTTGGGTTTGAAGCGGCGGATGAAGTAAGTTTGTATATATATCAACACCATAAATCGCGTATTTTACCTATATAAATATTACATTACATTACACTGTATTGTATTGTAAAGTCTGCAGTACTTTACTTCAAGATGCTTCTGGCAATAGAGTTTCTCTACATATTATACATGGGACCCCTTTATACAAATCTTCCAAAGGTCTGAAATTTGTTGATTTATAGAATTTTTGTTAAATTATACAAAGGTTTCAAATTGTGTATTTACAAGGAAAGTACCCAACCTGCCCCGAGAATCAGCTCAAAATTTTTATATGAATTCTTTGTGCTACCAATAGTGCCCATAAAAAATTTTAGCTTGCGCTTTTGAGTTTTAAATTTAAAATATTTGGCTTTCCCGCGCCAATTTGGCAAATTTGGCATTGTGTTTTAAGCACTTTTTTCGGCTTTCCAGACAAACTACGCTTACGAATTTAAAAATGTAGGTTCATTTAAAGGTATTCTACTAGTATATCAAAGAAAAATCATTAAAAGTCAAAAAATGACAAAGTTACAAGCTTGAAACACAATGCCAAGTCGGCGAGAAATTCAAAATGTAATTTTTTAATCTCGATTTTCTCGAGATCTCCGGGAAAGCGCGGTTTAGTACTTTGCTGAAGATCTTTTATTTACATGATCTTTCTTTATAAAAAGTTTGAAATCAATCAGAGCGGGGCAGGTCGGGCACTTTTCTTGTTAGCCAGGTATTGAAAAGTTACTCGTTATTAAGAGTTTTTGTTATAGAGGGGTTTGTTATACAAGGGTTCAACTATATATCAAAACTCTGAACAACGTATTTTATTTATATAAATTTTACAGTGCAGTACTTTACTTATAGCTACGCTTTTGGCAAATCCGTTATATAGTAGTCTTATTGTATTTTGTTTAATTGTTAATTATTATATTATCCATCAATAAAACTCCAATCTTTCAGAAAACTGCCCATTTGTGGGCAGAAACCTTATTCAAATGGGTAATATGGAATAGAAACCGGTACCATTCAGTCATACGATATTATCGTATGTATTTTGCTCCACTCATTCTTCAAGCAAAAGAGAAAGTATATAGAATTGAAAAGTAAGTCATTTTTGTATGTAACTTATGGGTTTGAATTTTAGTGCATATCAACATTTAACTTTACCTTACACTAACGCCGTCAATCGGATTGGTATTGGAGTGGATGTGGTAAGTATGCACTATTGCTATAGTAAATACTTAAATGCTTACTGTAGAGTTTATAACAAAAGTTACAGTATAGATTTTAACCTTAAAAGCTACAGGCGACTATATGAACGGCAGCAGGTTCTGGGATAAGAGTTACTATATGGATTACTCTAGGCAGTGGAGTAAAAGAAGCGGGGTAGAGTAGAGCAGGACAGAGTTGTTACAGTAGGTCTGACCGTAAAATTCAGAGTAAGATCTACAGTATAGGCTATGATAAAGTTGACTATAAGAACTACAGTAGGCGCTAGTATAGGAGTTACTGTATAGATTACTCTAGATAGTACAGTAGAATAGAGGGTAGGGTAGGGTAAAGTAGGGTAGGGTAGAGTAGGGTACTAAATTGTAGAATCATGGTCGTTTTCAGACTGATGACACAGACTTTGTCTCATTATATTTGAGCAGAGTAAAGCGACCGGACATACAACATATCTTCAGCGTTCTGTAAGTTCTGTTACCACGTTGTAAAACAGTATATTATAGTACTATAAAAAGTGAGAACTTAAACGTATGTTATTTCTAGAACCCAAGGCTCAAAGACAATGTCACCAGAAGTCTTTTTAAAGTTTATCAATGATAATCAACATGATTACCGGTTGAATGAAGAGCTCTATCCACAAAAGTCAATCAGATGGGCCAATAATATGATAAAGACTTTGGAGAAGAACAATATGACCACAGTGTTGACTTTCAAAGGATTTGCCAGATATTTCTTGGAATATGACACTGACTTGAACAGTAATTCAATGAAACTGAAGAAGGAGAACATGCAGAACACTATTACGCATTACTATTGTAATAGTAGTCATAACACTTATCTTAATGGTGAGTTTTTTGAGTATTATACATTATAAAGGTAATTTATTTTTATTTTGGCTAGAATTGGCTTGGGCTAGCTTTACTTTGACTCGAGTTATACCGCGGTAGAATGGGCTATTTGTTAAGGTCCAAACGGGGAACTAAGTCTAGTCTGGTCTTGTTAGTCTATATTAGCTTGGTCCTGTTGAATTGTGCTAGCTTAGTCATGTTGATCTGCATTAGTTTAGTTTTTTCGATCTGTAATAATATGTTCATATTGATCTGTACTAGTTTAGTCACGTCAATCGATATAAGAATGGTTTTGTTGATCTGTACTAATTTGGTCTAGTTTATATGCACTATTTTGATCTTGTTGATTTGTACTAGTTTAGTCCTATTGATCACTATATTATCTTGGTTTTGTTGATCTTTATTAGCTTAATTGTGTTGGGCTATATTAGTCTGATTCTGTTGATTTGTTATAGTTTGGCCTTACTGATTTGTACTAGTTTGGTCTTGTTCATTTATATTAACTTGGATCAGCTGATTTTTAATAGTTGGGTCATGTACTAGTCTACTTCTATAGATCTAGTATATTTGTTATTGTAGTCAATTTAGCATGTAATAGCCTTTAGGTATTAAAAAAAAGAAAATTTAGTTTATTTTGCGTACTTTAGGCAACCAAATACAAGCTGCCAAAGCTCTGCCAGGAAACTCTTGTCAATTATGTGAAACTCAAACTGAAATGTATCGACAGGTAAGTGTAGTTTATGTTTTAACCTAAGTTCATGAATTTAAAAATTTTTGACTTTAGATTTGGCTCCGTCTTTTTTATTTATCTTTAGCCCGGACTTTATCTTCGAGCTGGAGCCGTTCCAGGGGTCTTTAGTGCTGAAGTTTGACATTTTTTGGCTGCGGCTTCAGTTCAGGAATTTGAGCTGTCTGGGGCCGGCTCTAGAGCCTTTGTTTTGACCTTGCCCGTTTCTGTTGATTTTTTTAAACGTATAACAAGTTGGTGCTCTATGTTAACATATTTTTTGGTCTTTTATTGTAAAATACGGATTTTGTAACTTGTTGTTTTAATTTCAGATTTTACTTGCTGGCTGTCGATGTATTGAGTTGGACTGTTGGGATGGACCAAATGGACTTCCAGTTATTACACATGGACCAATGTCATTACAGAAAATTAATACCGTGCCTTTTAGAGTAGGACAAACATCTTTATGACAAATTTCCAGAAACGATTTTTTAAAATAAATCTTTCGTTGCGGGACCTAAGCTGGGCTCCTAAAGTTTTGGTTAGACATGGGAAACGGGCAGGGCCTGAATGTTAGGCCTGGCCCTTTCTTTGTTTTGCTGTCTCAGGTTTTTTACGAGCAAAGGGGCTGGGTTTTTCGGGATTTTCAGGCCCGGCCCAGCCTGAATTTGGCTTAAGCCTGGTCTGTTCTCTTTGTCAAGCCTTGCTTAGTCCTCAGGCTCACATATCATGGCTCTTTTCAAATTTTCTTTGGCTTGTTGTTGCCTAGGGCCCGGACAAGTTAAGTGCGCCCCTTTTCAGGCCTAACTTCATCAATGTTATACACATATCACAGTAAATAATACATTAATCAACCTTCCAGGAAGTGTGTGAAGCCATCATAGAATTCGCGTTCAAAACCTCGGACTATCCGATTGTTTTGTCGCTGGAGAACCATTGTAATCCACCACAACAGCAACATATGGCAAATGATTTCATCGAAGTGTTTGGTGATCATTTACAAGCAGCCGCTTTGAACTCACACCCTTTGGAGAAGGGGATCTGCCTTCCATCGCCTACGGCGTTGTTTCGGAAAATTCTTTTGAAAGGTCGGTTTTTAATTAGGGTAGGGTAGAGTAGGGTAGGGTAGGGTTGGGTAGAGTAGGGTAGGGTAGGGTAGGGTAGGGTAGGGTAGGGTAGGGTAGGGTAGGGTGGGGTGGGGTGGGGTGGGGGTGGGGTAGGGTAGGGTAGGGTAGAGTAGGGTAGGGTAGGGTAGGGTAGGGTAGGGTAGCGTAGGGTAGGGTAGGGTAGGGTAGGGTAGGGTAGGGTAGGGTAGGGTAGGGTAGGGTAGGGTAGGGTAGGGTAGGGTAGGGTAGGGTAGGGTAGGGTAGGGTAGGGTAGGGTAGGGTAGGGTAGGGTAAGGTAAAATGAAATAAAAAAAAATTAGGTAACAAGTTTAAAAATTTACATATTTTTTGGTTGTTCAAAAAGTTTTGCGCTTCCTTACAATTAAAATTAAGGGAACTCAGAACTTTTTGAACAACCTAATCTTATATTTTAGGTAGTAAATCCAAGAAAGTGCAAAACAACGATGCTTTTGTGTCATTCGTTGGCAAGGTGAAGGTAGAGATGAATCGACTGATTGACATTGGCACCAATAAGTTGTCGCAAAACTTTCAAGTTTATATGAATCTACGTGAAGCTCCACCAGATGAAGCTATGCTTACCGTAAGCTTTTGAACATAACTTTGAAATTTAAAAGCCATATCAAATTAAAAAATAAGAATAGTATTTCAGAAAAAGCCAACCGAGTTACAGTACGAACAATACAAGATAGTGCAGGAACAGTTTCAGTACGTTAAGACTGAAACCATAGCCGAGACGAAACAAGAATTGGCTGACCTGATCAACTACTTTCAAACTACTCCAAGGTTGGACATAGGTGAGTTATATGAATGTACTATGTTAATAACCGTATCCTACTTTGCTTTATCATAGAAAAGTACGGTAAGATAGCGTATAATAGGGCACAGTGAAGTAGAGTAGACAAGTGGTAAGGTCGCGTAGGGTAGGGCTTGGGCTAGGGCTTTGCAGTGTTTTGCCGGACCCGTCCGGTCCGGACCGGTCCGGAAAAAAATTTTTTTTTTATTTTAGTAAAACTTTTAAAAATTGCAAATAAAACATATATTTAAGAGTTTTTAAACGTAAAGAAAGCAGTTTTAGCGCTCCTGGCTCTTTTTAAAAATAAAAAAAAAATTTCCGGACCGGACCTGACCTTTTTAATCCGGACCGGACCGGACCTGAGCGAAAAAAATAGAGCCGGACCGAAAATTTTTCGGACCGGGCCGAAAAAATTCTCATCCGGACCGGTCCGGCAAAACACTGGGGCTTTGGATTAGGGCTCAATAGGGCAAGATAGAGGCAAAGTTAGGGCAAAGGTAAGGGAAGGGCAATGGTAGGGCAAAAGTCAAGCTAGAACTCTGGACTAGGGCTTTGGGCTAAGGCTAAGGATAATGCCAGGGCTCCGGAGCCGACATTTTCGCAAGCTCCGGCTCTGGCTCCGGCTCCGAGGGCACAAAATCAATAAAAATCGTATTTCTATATAAAAAAACGCAAAAACAACCAAAAATAAGCTTTATCTTTTCTAAATTTAATAAAACAACAATTTTTAACTATTAAAACAATAAAAAAGTACATATAACTTATTCAGAGTATGGGGAATTAAAAGACATTAACATTTTTTGTCTGATTAAAGCATGCTGAGAGTTGCAAAGCTTTGAGGCGGTTACTGCTTGAAGGCGGCTAAAGAATTGCTCTACATTTGCCGAAGCCGCGGATACTGTTAATGCTGCCAAAGTATTTGCATTTACCATCAATTACATTTGCTTGCACATCGCTTTTGTCAAACGATTTTGAAAAATCTAAATTCCGGCGCTTTTTTGCTTCCATTTGAAAATAACACAAAAATTTGTCCAAAAAACTATTTTATCGCAATGCCAACCTTTTGAATTGGCCGTGGATAGTTTTCTTTCCGATACCTTTTTACACTGCTCGAATAATAAAAATTAAAATGTGGAGCCATCCTAGAAAAACTCGGCTCCGGCTCCAGCTCCGGCTCCAACCATTTTCAAAAATGAGCTCCGGCTCCGGAGCCCGTGGGAACTCTGGCTAGGATTCTCGGCTAGGGCTCTGGGCTAAGGCTCTGGGCTGGGCTAGGGTGCTGGGCTAGGGCTCTGGGCTAGGGCTCTGGGCTAGGGCTCTGGGCTAGGGCTCTGGGCTAGGGCTCTGGGCTAGGGCTCTGGGCTAGGGCTCTGGGCTAGGGCTCTGGGCTAGGGCTCTGGGCTAGGGCTCTGGGCTAGGGCTCTGGGCTAGGGCTCTGGGCTAGGGCTCTGGGCTAGGGCTCTGGGCTAGGGCTCTGGGCTAGGGCTCTGGGCTAGGGCTCTGGGCTAGGGCTCTGGGCTAGGGCTCTGGGCTAGGGCTCTGGGCTAGGATTAGAATTCAACTTACTAACCTCTATCTTTCAGACGATCCAGAATACCTAATGCATTCAGGAAGTGAGCAGAAGATTGATAAAATGATAACCAATGGCTCAAGGGCACTAATCCAACATACGACGAGACACATTGTCAGAGTGTACCCTGACTTGGGCAGGGTTTGTTCTTCTAACTTCATACCTATGGTAAGGTACTATAATATTCTTATTTATTTTATTAAACAAGCATCAACGGTGAACGTATTTTACATTTTTTTAATTTTTTTTTATTTAAAAAATTTTTTCACAAATTTAAACTTTAAAATTGCCTTTAGTACTTCTGGACAGCCGGCTGTCAGATGTTGGCGATGAACTTCCAAACCCCAGGTCTGCCAATGCAAATGAATCAAGCTTTGTTCGAAGAGAACGGTCGTACTGGATACGTACTCAAGTCTTCGTGTATCAGGAATAAGAATCATAAAATGAGTGTACAAGATAAGAACATTCTGGCTGGTGATACCCTAGGGATTTGTATTCATTCAGCTCAGTTTGTGAATCTTTTGATGAATCGGTACAGAGAGAATGCTAAGGTTCAGGTAAGGTTTCGGATGTTGTAGTAGGGGTGGAGGTTATGAGACTACCCTACCCTACTCTATCTTACTTTGCCCGGCCTTACTCTACTTACCCTACCCTACCCTACCTTACCCCACCTTACCCTACCCTACCCTACTTGGCTTTGCCCTTGCCTTGCGTTACCTTGCCCTGTCCTGTTCTTTCTTGCTTTGCTCTGCCTTACCCTATCTTATGTTACGCTACCTTGCCTTACCGTACTCTGTCTTACCCCACCTTGCCTTCCTTTGCCTTGCCCTACTCTACCTGCCTTACTCTACCTTGATTTACTCTGCTATGACCTACTCTAACTTTCTTTGCTCTACCTTACCGTACCTTACCTTACCCACCTTCTCTTACTCTATCTTCCCTTACTTTACCTTACGTTATACTACCTTTGCCGTATTGTATTCATTTTGACCTTATTGTAGGTAGCAATGGACCTGTACGATCTTCCAAATGACACAGTACGAGATCGTTATGCAACACCTTTGATGCAAAGTGTAGATGGAGGCTTCAACGTTCTGTTTTTCAAAAAGTTTACCAAATTTACTAAGGTAAGTTCACTACATCTTGTTCATGAACAATAAACTGCCTTTTCTAAAAGTTACAGTACACAAAAATAGAAAGAACGTACTTTAAGAATAAAATATATTACTGTAAAGTCTAAATTGAAAACTTTTAATTATTTACCATAATATTTTAGATAATCAAACCAGAACATGCCATGTTACACATACGGTTACTGAACGAGTATGGGGAAGAGCTCGGCCAGAGGTTTTTGGCCGTTCACAAAATTCAAGCCGGTAACGGAGTTTTAAAAGCCTAAAAATTTTTCGTACTATGCACCCACTTCAGTTCAAAAAGAATTTACCACGCCCAAAAAAATTTTTCAAAAAAGTCATTTTTGGGCCACAAGGAGTTAAAATTGAACCCATTCTTTTTACTATCCCTCCCCTCCCTCCTCTCCCGCTGAAAAAAATTACCACGCCCAAAATTTTTTTTTCAAAAAACGTCATTTTAGGGCCACAAATATTTTTTAGTGAATGGTATTTTTGTATTTTTAGGGTATCACCACGTCATTCTCCGCAACAGAAATGATAAGAATGAAGGTCCGGCTTCTGTTTTTGCTCAATTCGAAGTCCAAACTTATATACCGCCACTTCAAATCGACCCTCTGGAGAACCTGGTGTCTCCGTTGAGGAAGAAGAAGGAAAAGGCTGGTATGGTCTTAATATTTCTCTATTTTGTCCTACTACTCACAGGGACAAAATAAAAAACAATTGAAATGGCCCCCTTGGGCTTTAAATATTTTTTATCCTCCCCCCAAAACTACCCCGCCCGGCACAGTAGCAAAAAAAAAGAACATTGATCCGTCTGATACTGTTCTTGATTAAAACATATTTTCAGAAGAAATAAACCGACTGGTCGATCCAATGCGAGAAAACTCAGCGAAACGCCGGAAGGACGGATCCAAGATCATTACCTCCTTCTCATAACAATATTTATCAAATTTACATCTATAAAAAGTAAAAATATGTACACAAGGCATCAATATACAATTGTCAGTCAAATTAACAAACCTTAAACACAAAAACTCTACTCAGAATCGACCGGTAAAGCCACAAGTTCAGTAGCGTAGCGATGCGGCCTTCTCGGTCGAAAATCGACCACTTCCTCCCTACCCAAGTCGACAACTTCTCCAAAATGAAGAAGCGAAGCGAATACACGATGATCTTGCTCCTCGTTTCGTATCCGTTGAGCTACTGGAATGTTGAATGCGTTTATATAAGCACTACAACATAACCATAACATTATAGTAGTTAGGGCCAGCTTTATCACGTACATTGCTAAAAAATAGAGGTGTTAAGAGATGGAAAAAAGATTTATGTGTCTTAACGATAATCTACTATCACGAAAAAACGATTGGGCTACTACAAGATACTAAACATTAAGTTTTTAGGTAACAAACCAACAAAAAACCATGTTTTAGGAAACAAAGAAATGAAAAATCATTTTTAGCCACCAAAACCAAGTAAATTAGATCCGAACAGCCGACAAAATCTCAGTCCAAACCATATTATACCTGTCCCCAACAAAAAATTCACTGTAAACCTTCCGCAGTAGCCAAAAACAACTGATCGTATTCGTATTATGTTGTCAAACATATTCGATTACTTTTTACGTCGCAAACTATTTAAAATATGGGAATTTGACGATGCGTTTTAAACCATTACTCAGAACAACCATGATGATCGAGTTTTTACAATAATCGAATTTTTAAAACAGTAATTATAGTCGGCCACGAGTTACTGTGGTGGTTTACAATAATAACATCGGGAATGGTCTATATTTAATAGAACACGTTCATGAAACTTAACATATAGATTAAAAATAGATTTTTTATGACCATCATTACCTATTTTTTATGGAATTTAGTAAAAAATGTCATAATGACACGGTTTCCAGAAAATACGTCATGTTTACCGATTGTAAGAGTGTAAATACGATTCGAACTATTTTTAACTTACTTAGTTTTATTTACGAACTTTTAATTTGTAAAATTCTTTGATACAAATAAGTCTAATAATTAGTTGTCATGACGGATTTTATAGACACTATAACTTATTAATGTTTTTGGAAGATGGATAACATTTTATTGAATTTTGGTAAAGTAAACCTCAAGTTAAAGGTAATTTTTAAACTTTATTTGCTTTGCTATATTTAGGTAATGTTTTGGTTATAAGTTTTGCGGGAAAAATTTTATCACTTCCAAGTTATACGGTGTTAAACATCAAGACACATGTACAACATCGCTCTTGTGTAATTTTTTAACTTTAAAGAAGTCTTTTTATTTTAATATTCGTTTTAATAGTAACATTGATGTTTCCAACATTTTTAGTTTAATTTTCGAAGAGTTTCGCTTCAAGTTTAACAAATTTTTACGATGGAAACAAGTGTAATATCTGGCCTTGCAAACCTTGTTATTTTTAATAAATTTTTGTTTTTCATACATTGTTTAGATTTTAAAACTTTTTATTGTTTGTTGGTAAACAATGTGATCGATGAAGAATTGTCTTTGGTGTGAAATAAATCATATTTTTATAACTAACGTATTTTTAGGTATTAAACTCGGAAGTTGGAGGAAAATCAAGTTCTTTTTGTCAAATTTCTTTTGAAATGTGGACTGAAAGTTCAAGCAATCTGTTGTGAATTAGTAGATAATGATGAATTGTGTGATAAGTAAGTTTTTTATTATTTTTGTTTTGATTTTAGGTAACGTAAGCAAACTTCAAGAGTATCTTTTGAAAACGGGCGTTTTTCACTAAAGTAGCCAGTGGATGTAAGCTACTCAATGATCGTGGTAATATATGTTTTACTAATTTTAGAAAACGTTTTTATTTAAAACCAATTATAGCGGTTATAAGTTATATTACCCATCAGACCCAAGTTCAACACTTTGCTCTAAAAACACACTTTCTTTGCAGCGCAATCGACGAATATGTGTCAAGGTCAGTTAAAATATGAGATGTAATCTTATCACCGAAATCGTCGAACGCCTTTCCTTCCACTTGAAACGTTGATCATGGCTTCTCCAACGGTTTTCAAGCGTTTCGCTCCGGAAATCGAGAGTGTGAAGGAGATTCCGGATTTGAAGATCATCAGGCCCAAGGCTTTTCCGGATGATCGTGGATTCTTTTGCGAGACTTATAATGTTGAGGAGTGGGCCAAGGTTTTGGACTTTCACGAGGTCTTTAAACAGGTACGTTTAATATTGTTTTAGAGGGTTTGAGGTGGTTATAGTGGTTTTAGAGCTGTTTTGTGGTTAAATTAAGTCTTATAAGGCCGATCGAATGCTTATAGAAGATGAAGAACAATATATTTTATTAAGTAGCATAACAAAAATTGTCATAAAATCGAAAATTTTTATTTTTTTGATAGTTTTAACATTTATTCACGTACTATAAATTTTGGATCAAATACCTTAATATTTTTCATTCAAACTCAGCTAAAACAATATTTTCAGGACAACCATTCCTATTCAAAGTACGGAGTTGTCCGTGGACTTCACTCTCAACCAGGCATGGGCAAACTGGTGTCAGTAGTGAGCGGTAAAATCTTTGATGTTGCTGTAGATGCTCGATTGGACTCGCCAACTTTCGGCAAATGGCACGCTGTGATTCTGGATGCTGAATCTAAAACCAACTTCTGGATTCCACCCGGCTTCTTGCATGGTCTTCAAGTAAGATTTTTTGGATTTTTTGCTTTATCTTGTTAATAAGGACTAAATTATATTACTTTAGGTGAGCCGTGATAAGAAGCTTTACAAAAATCCTTTTTTATATTCTCGATTCTATTCCATAAGGTTAAATATGACCTAACATGATAAAATCAATCCAAAAATAGCCTAAAATCTCTGCTTTTTCAGGCCCTATCTCCAGAAGGAGCACACGTTACCTACAAATGTACTGGAGTGTATGACCCAAAAACCGAGTACGGAATCGATGTCTTCGACAAGGATATCGGCGTAGAATGGCCAATCACCGACCCAGCTCAAATCATTGTTAGTGAACGTGACACTCAACATCCGGGAATTAGAAGCCTTCGTGACGCTCTCAAGGGATAAGTTATACGATCGAAGGTGTCTCACAGGTGGACTGTTTATGTAAAATTTGATGATTATGTTAAAACTTGTACAATACAGTAAATTATGTTTTTACGGTAGTGGGTTTTTATTTTTTAGGGGGTGGTCTAAAGTTTTTGACAAAAATGACCGTACAAGTACTGCGCGGTGCAAAACATAAGCCTAAGATCACAAAACAAAAAAATTAAATGTAAAATCAAAAAGCAAGTTAAATACAAGCAGTAATGACTTTATTTCTTGGCATAAACATCATTTGGATTGTGGTTTTTGAAGATTTTTTCAGCGTTAACGTTGAACTCCTTAATGTCTTTTTGCAAGACGTCTTTTCCAACATTCACCGTGTAGTACTCGGTTAGAACACGTGCAATGTAGAGGAATTGTACGTCGGTTTGGACGGCTAGTAGGCGTTTACCTAAAGCATGATGCATTTTATAAAAAAATTGATTTGTTCTACTACGTCAGATGTCTAGGATAAGATAACTTTGACGACTTGAAACATCATTTTCTTGTAAGTATAGAGCTGCAAAACTAGTACTAAATGAAGCATCACAATCATATCTTCAAAACAAAAAAACTTACTCCTGACCTCCTTGATCATCTCAGCCAGATTCATCGTCGACAACGACAATGTGGCTTGAATAACATACTCAATGGCCACAACACTGCCGGTCCTCCCAATTCCAGCCGAACAGTGGACGATTGTTGGTGATGAGCTCGTTCTCGGGGCTTTTAGTAATGTCAGAGCACAAAGGGTGGTTGATGGAACGCCTCGGTCAGGCCAGCCCAGCCAGAGAAAGTGTTTCAGGTTGAATTTGCCGGCGGGGCTTGTTACTTCCAGTTCTGTGGTGAAGATTTGGTGGGTGGTGGAGGTGCCTTTGTTGATTACCGTGAATTCTAAAGGGCTTGTGATGTTAGTTAAAAAAAATTTTGCCCACAAGTTAAATTTTTTTTCCAAAAAAAAATTTTATTTTTAAAAAATTACCCCCCCCCCCCAAAAAATAAAAAAATTATCAACCTACTCCCAAAGCTCATCTTCTCGTCCTTCTTTCTGGGCCAATACTGGGCGCACTTGGGTTTCCCCATCTCCACCGTCTCACACAACATGATGATGATGCCCACCTTTCGTTGACAAATCATTCGATAAAAGTCGATAATCGTGTTGGCCAGTGGGCCTTGAGTACAGAAAAAAGTGTTACACAATGGGAAGCCGCTAACCTCGTTCGCATGAATATAATCATGGGGACCGTCGGCTAGGTTCAGGACGACACGGTGTTGGTCTCCACATACGACGTCTGAAAAGTTAAAAATGAATGGAGGGGGGGGTTATGAAGTTAGGCCCGGCAAAATTAGCCTAAAAATTGATTTTGTGGCGCCAGGACAACAAGAATTTCAAGGGAGGGGTAATTTTTAGCATTTTCATAGGGAGGGGTAATTTTTTTTCGGGGGGGGGGGGTAAAAAAAATTTTTTTACCAAAATCACATTTTTTCGTCCTACGATCACCTATTAGGTTGTTCAAAAAAGTTTGCGCCCCCTACCCCGAAAATTTGCTTAAAACTTAGCTCAGAATTATTTGAACAACCTAATATAAAGTTAGTTATTTAGTTGTGGACAGACAAGCTAAGAAAGTAAACCCTTACCATTATACCGATTCTTGTCGGCATTGGCATCGAAAGCGTAGCGAGTAGAACAAGGTGGAAGCCAATTCTTAATCTCATTGTTGTACATGTCAATTAGTCCTTGTGGCCCGGTTTTGATGACCCAATTGACCAGTCGACGACAATTGTCTTTTTGTTCTTGAGTGTCAGGCTTTTCACGATTGTTCACGGGTTGCTGAATATGGTTGGTATTACACAGTCAAGTGTGCCCTAAAGTACCCTAGTCTACAATACACTAATCTACTTTATCTTACCTTGTCCTACTTTACCCTACCCTAACCCAACATACCGTCACCGTCCCCTGAGCTCGATTCATTTTGGACCTCCGGCCTTTGCTCGGTGGTCCGGAGCCTTTGCTTGGCGGCCCCGAGCTAGGCTTGTTCATCATGTCCTCGACCATGGTGAACACTTTGGTCGGTGATTCGGTAGCCGGCTCATCTCTGGTCTGTCCCGGCGTTGGTGTCTTCTTGTTCTTGGGTCCATTCCGCTCCTGTATATTCCTCTGTTTGCCTCCCGATTTTTTACCTCGAACCTTTGAGTCTTTCTTTTTCATTTCGAAAACCTGGAGTGGGAGGTCGTCGACCGGTCGATACGAAACAGAAAACAAGGATTGGAGTGAGATTTAACAAAGTTTTCGAATTTCAAAATTTTAAAAATCTCAATTTTTTCATTTTTTAAAAATTTAGATTTTTAGGTAACATAATCAAGGTCTTTATGATTTTTAATTTTAAAAAACAGTTTATTAGCACAACAAGGTAAGTTTGATACCCGCAATCAATATTATTGTATAGTACATAGTCCTCATTAGGATTTTTGTATAGTTTACATTAGTGTTAGGCAAGGTGGAAGGGGGGGGAGAGAAGACAAAAATTTTTACGGAATAATTTTTCTTGAAAAAATTAAAATCGAGGAGTTAATACAAAATTTTTTACCCATGCTTCGATTTCTACATCAAAATTGCCCCGCCCAACACAAAATTATCCCGCCCTACAAAAACTCACTCCGCCCAACAATTTTCTTAAAGTATAAATGTTAGGTTGTTCAAATCAATCTGAGCCCTTTGAAAAACAAAATTTTTGGGGCTAAGGGACTTAGAATTATTTGAACAACGTGATATAAAAAAATTTAGATATTTTAGGTATATTATATTGGACATGTCATTTGTGACCAATCAAGGAATTTTTTCTAACAAAAATAGACCTCAAGATCAACATTCATCATAGTCATCATAAATAGTTGACTAATAACAATGTAAACCACTGTTAATATGAGCGATACTACCCATAAACTCCACTATTATCATGAACAATATCATCCATAAACAGGTACGAAAAGCCAAGGGAAACCGTAGATTTGAGCGGGTTGATTGGCCGTTACCTTGTTATCACTAAACTGCTTACTATAACCATTCGAAGGGTTATTGTAGTAGCCTTTTTGTAGTCTTTGATCCGTCGGATTTGGTAGACCAATCCAGTCCAATACTTTTGAGTGGATTATGCTTTGGGCGTTTCGAATTTCCGGTTGAAAGCTTGGGAACATGCCTTCGCAGTGGGTGCCGCCTGAAGGGGTTGTTATTAGAAACTTTTCTGGAGAGAGGGTAGATGTACTCATAGTTGTCATATAATATAAGCACAACCTATACCTTTTATGATGACTAGAACATTGTTCCTTTTGATGAACTGACTTTCCATTTGTAATGGCCTCCAGGGGTCGTTCTCTCCTTCAACGAACAGCACGTTTGTTACCTAAAATTATAAATTGTTAATGAAAAAACGTTTTAAGTTGAACTAAAATTAGGCAAAAGTTTAAAATTTAAATAAATTTTACACTGTAAAATAAGTTACCGTCTATCTTTACACAAAATTTTTAAATTAAATTTAACTTATCACTCTGAGTAACACTAAAGATAGGTCAGACCAACTAGGAAAAAACAGTGCAAAGTAGGGTTAAGTAAAGTAGAATAGCATAAGGTAGGGTTGAGGGTTGAGTAAAGTAAGGTAGAATAAGACAGAGTAAAGTATAACAGAGTAGGATAAGGTACAGTAACATAAGGTATGATGGGATAAGATAGAGTAAGAACAAGAAACATAAGTTAAGCTAGAATAAGGTACAGTACAATAAGGTAGGGTAGGGTAGGATAGAGTAGGGTAGGATAGAGTAGTAGGGTAGGGTAGGGTAAGGGTAGAGTAGGGTAGAGTAGGGTAGGGTAAGGTAAGGTAGGGTAGGGTAGGGCAGGGTAGGGTAGGGTAGGGTAGGGTAGGGTAGGGTAGGGTAGGGTAGGGTAGGGTAGGGTAGGGTAGGGTAGGGTAGGATAGAGTAGGGTAGGGTAGGATAGAGTAGTAGGGTAGGGTAGGGTAGGGTAGGGTAGGGTAGGGTAGGGTAGGGTAGGGTAGGGTAGGGTAGGGTAGGGTAGGGTAGGGTAAGGGTAGAGTAGGGTAGAGTAGGGTAGGGTAAGGTAGGATAGAGTAGGGTAGGGTAGGGTAGGGTAGGGTAGGGTAAGGGTAGAGTAGGGTAGGGTAGGGTAGGGTAGGGTAGGGTAGGGTAGGGTAGGGTAGGGTAGGGTAGGGTAGGGTAGGGTAGGGTAGAGTAGGGTAGGGTAAGGTAGGGTAGGGTAGAGTAGGGTAGGATAGAGTAGGGTAGGGTAGGGTAGGGTAGGATAGAGTAGGGTAGGGTAGGGTAGGGTAGGGTAGGGTAGGGTAGGGTAGGGTAGGACAGGATATGATATTCATAACCCAACTAAAACAACCTTACATTCAATTCCCTTCGTCCACCATAGTAATCCCTTGTCTCGGCCACCTTCCTTCGTATCTCATCGCTCACAAACTCGTCGCCAAAAATTGCGCGACAAAACCCGGAAGCGTTCTCTAAACTGACATTGAAATTGAAAAGATTTGGCCAATCGTTGGGATCGTCATCAACTTCAGCTGATGCTACGAACCAGCCAAACTCATTACAGAGTTGATACGACCATCCATTGAGGTCGTAGCCAGAGTCTTCGAAGTTGGTCTTGTTTTGAAACAAATGGCCTAGGACTTCTAGGAGGGGGTACCTATAAGATTAAAGTTTTAAATTTAAAAAGCTTATTACCAGGTTATTGAAGGTTATGATAAGTGGATAACAACATATAACAAGGTCAGTAAACCTTATAACAAGGTCATATAACTCGTAAAATAAAATTTTTAAAATACCGTAAATTCTCCACCCTGTCACGACAAATTGTTCGTATGTCATCTTGAGTACGTGTTTGTAGCATCCCACCCATTACAAACAAAATCTCAGTCAACAGTCGTTCTCGAACCGCTTCTGGCTCATAAGTTGTTAGGTTTTCTGTGCTGAAAATGCAAGTTTTAATTCAAAACTTTACTAAAATGTGAACAATATTAACTAAAATAATTTTTAAAATCAAATTATATCAGACAGAATCATCAAATACAAACCCCAACTTCAAGTTGTTCAAAGTGTCAGTCCGACTGTCCAAATCAAGTTGAAGTTCAGCATTCAACAAGTCCAAAGCGTCACGTAAACGACCAGCACATGGCTCACTTATCCTCCATAAACTGTCCGATACTGCTGATTTGTACTCTAAATGTTACGGTATATTTCGTTTCAAATTTTATACCAGGGTCAGACAAGAAAAACAAGACAGAACAATACAAGACAAAGCAGGATAAGGTAAAGTAGAGCAAGCCAAGAAAAGTCAAGATAAAGTAAGGCAAGGCAGGACATGGTAGAGTACGACAAATCTGGGTAAGCCAGTTCAGAGTAAAAAGGGTAAAACACAGTAAAGTAAGACAAGATAGCTTAGGGCAAGATAGTGTAGGTTGCAAGGCAAGGCAAGGCAAGGCAAGCCAAGGCAAGGCAAGGCAAGGCAAGGCAAGGCCAGGGCGAAGCCAGGCCAGGGAAGGGCAATAGGCAGATCAGGGCTAGATCAAGGCAATAAAAGATAGGACTACTTGAAAAACAAAGCTTGAGAACTTACCCTCAAAGTCAAGTTGAACCTCAAGAGGGGCAGAGAAGGCCACAGCGCCAGTAGTCAAAGTTGGATGTCGTGCCCTCAACCATGTAGCCAACGATCCAGAATAAGAACAGCCACTTACAATGAAAGGTGAATTAAAATATCGTGGCTGTTCTTTCAACGTTCTCACGAAGTAAGCAGCGTCTTCTATGGCTTGCTTTGAGGATAGAAACTCGTATTTTGAATAGTTTCTGAAAAGGTAGTAACTGTTAGCTGTGGTAAGCATAAATAGCAACAAAAAGTCAAAAAGATAATATAATATACACCAAAAAGTCGCTGTAAGCCACCTATAACAATATTCATTACATAAAACAACAAATAAACTTCAGTAAAGCCCAAAACTCACCCAGTCGGAACACTCTTTCCATAGTACCTATGTTCCAATATTAACAAAGCTCCACCGTAAATCTGAGCAAGTTGAGAAAGAAAAGTTCTTTCAGCTTCAACATAATCAGGTTGAGCTTCACCTTCTCCTGATAATATAAAGAAGACCGGCCCATACGGTTTGAAGTACTGTAGGTTTTCAAAATATCGCTGAAAATAAAAAAAATGAAACTATAGTAAGACTCGTTTTACTCTAGTCAACCCATAATTTTTTGTCCACTTCTTCAGAAAAACTCTTTACTGACTGTGTAGCACTATCACAATCATATAGATCAATACTAAAGACTAGTCAATCAATAATATAAATAGAAAAAAAGTCTTTTTACCTGTCCAAACGTTCCAGTTTGGTCAGGATTGACAAAGTGATCTTTTCGTTGCTCAAAGAACTGTTCCTGCACATTTGTGGTTACTGTATTTTCCAAAACGTCATCGGTAACAAAATTGTCCTGGAACTGAAAGTAAATTTTAATTTTTTTGAATATATAATACATATTAGTTAATATAATAATTTCTTGCTATAATATTTTTTAAATAATAGTTTCAGTAAGTCCTAGAAAAAAGTAGCTGGTATACACCGTATTTTACCATACAAATTAAAAAAAAGTAAGATAGGATAAGATAAGGTGGAATAAAGTAAAACCCGTGAAATGTTTTTTTTGAATTTGCTCTAGGGGGAGATTAGATTTACTATATTTAACTTTTCCCCTAACGAAGTCTTTAGTTCTATTGTATGTATTTGTAATACAATTTTAAGCAACAGTTCCTCTTAACTTTACTGTAAAACTTACTTGAGATCTACAACCAACAACAAATGAACAAAACATCAATATTTTAAACATACCAAGCTGAATCATAATGAATAGTTGAAAAACAGATCAACTACAGTTTAGTTTAGATGATTTAGAAAATCAAGACCGATTAAAGTGGTTTGATAAAAGATAAAAAGGGTTTAGAATACCATTATCTTTTATATTATAGTAATAAAATCAAAAATATAGTTTTATAGTATAAATACTAATAACAATACTGATATTGCAGGTTAGTATAATTAAGAATAGTATGGTGCGATGTCAATAAGGTAAATAATAATATGATATTTTAGGTTTAAAAAGCTTAAATAATACTTTTTTTAGCCTAAAACAAGACTTTTAGGCTTAATACTTGTAAATATTGCACTAATAACTAATAATATTAATTTAGGTATGAAATAGCGTTAAAATACTAAAATAGGTATGAATTATCTATAATAATACTAAATTAGGTATGAATTTTCTATAATAATACTAAATTAGGTATGAATTAGCTCTAGTAGTAACAAAAAACTAGAAGATATTGTTTATAATACTAAAATAGGTATGAAATATCAGTCGATATTTTTAAAACCACGCTCCAAACTGAATTATGAAACAGTCAACAATAGTGCTCCGCAAACTTTGCCAAACAAACAAAATCTATAAAGTTTGAACGTTTTTGTATACCTATTCTTCGAACGATTAGCTCCGTCTAGTGAGACAACTATCAAGAATAAACATTGTGAATATCTTATAAGTCTTGTTTGTTTTGTGACACAAAATTAAATATTATAAAGTTAAACAATGAAATTGAAAAAAGTGATTCAGACGGTGGGTGGTAGAGTAGGTATAGATTTGTAAATGCGCCACGGCCAATCAATTAACAGAGAAAATACCCCACCCGTCCCACTCAGAATCAGCTCAAAATTTTTAAATGAGTTCTTTGTACCACCAATAGTATTCATAAAAAATTTTAGCTCACGCTTTTGAGTTTTAAATTTAAAATATTTGAATTTCCCGCCAATTTGGCAAATTTGGCATTGTGTTTCAAACACTTTTTTTTTGACTTTCCAGAGAAACTAAGCCTACAAATTTAAAAAAATTAGGTTCATTTTTAGCGATTCTACTAGTATATCAAAAAAAATGCTTAAATGTCAAAAAATGACAAAGTTATAAGCTTGAAACGCAATGCCAATTTGCCGCGAAATTCGAAACGCAGTTTTTTGATCTCGATTTTTTTGAGATTTCCTGGAAAGCGCGATTCAGTACTTTGCTCAACCCCTTATATCAACATGGATCTTTTTAAATAAAAAGTTATTAAAAAATCATATGTACATACATATGTAAAGGTTGAATTTTCGAAATCGTTTTAGTATGTTGTGATGTTGTATATCATCCTTGATTAACTTGCTTAAGGCTTCACTATGAGAAAACTGGTTGTAGTATTAATCAAACTTTCATAAGTTAACAACCCCATCCTCACAATGTTTAACCGCAACATAGAGAAAACGACCGGTAAAGGTTTGTAACAGAACTTTTGGCGCACCCTAAGTTCTGTTACAATGTAATCAAATTCAAATTTTTTATTTAACAAAACAGATAACTAACAACTGTAAACTATTATTCACAACAAAATAGAAAAACAAAATATGTACATACATGTTGATTATAATTACATTATCTAGTTACTGTTCCTCGACCCGGTTGTCGGGCTCTTTTCGCAACGAGTGCATCAGGGAAGTGTTGTTGTACTCGAGGAGTTGGTCGTATAGTTGGGGCGTGGCAAATAAGAGGGATGGTACAAATTGGAGGAGATCGTAGGAGTCGGGTAAGCCGATGGAGACTTCGCCCATGTAGGTGGCGAGCTCGTGTGAGATTAGTTTCTAAAAAAGTGGAATTAGCTTCAGCTTCAGGTTTTCGTGGTGGGACCCAAAGGTAAAAAGCTAAATTTAGTGATATGGGTTTTAAATCTGCCTTGAAGTAAAATTATTTGAATATTTTCACGTTTTCCTGGTGGGACCAAAATTAATTTCACGTTTTCGTGTTGATACCCAAACCTCAAAAGCGAACTTTTGTGATAGGGGTTCTAGATCTTCCTTGAAGTAAACCTACTTTAATATATACACGTTTTCGTTGTGAGACCCATAGTATTTTCACGATTTCGTGGTGGGACCCAAAGATCAAAAGCTAAATTTTATGGCAGAGACTGTAGCTCTACCTTGAAGTAAAACTACCTTAATACTTTCAAATAACATCTCCATTTTTCGTATTTTACACCACTAAACCCCCGTTATACCACAATAACTTACCCTATGTAAGAAGTGAATGCCATTTTTGTCAAAAGCAACTTTTTCGAAAAATTGGGCCAAAAAGAAGATGACAGAAGCAGCAAAGCGTGTTAGAACCATTTGTTCGCCATAGACCATGTAGATATGGACCCGGTCGATGAGGTGAGGATGTTCATCATCAATTAACTGGACGAGATGATGCCTTCTCGGGTATTCGCAGCCGACTGGTGAGCCGTAGGCCTAAAATAACGGGGGTTTTAGGTATGAAATACATTTTAAATCCTTGTTTTACATTTTTCGTCCAGTGTAGAGATTATAAACTGCAGTGTAAGACCTTGTTTTACATTTTTCATTACATATAGAAGTCATAAACTACACTGTAAAGCCTGTTTTACAATAAAAAAGCTACCAAAAAACCCTCTTAAATAACCTACAACAACAGCACAAAGCTCCATCCACGCGTTCTTCACCATGAACGGACTATCCACATATACACCGTCACATTCATAGACCAGCTCGTGTCTTAGGCGGCGAAACATGTTCTTATTGTTGTATGTTAGGTCGTAGTACGGCTGAAATAAAGAGTTTTGATGAGCTATACCATTGCAATGATAATATTTTTCATTATTTTCAATTTTTTGAGATATTCCCTGATTTTCAGGGTTTTCGTGTTGGGACCCAAATTGGATAGTAAAAACCTGCTAAAACAGCAAAAATAACCCAGTATAGATAAAAAATAATTTCTCCATAAAAACTCACCACTTTATGATCCCTAGCCCACTCCAGTAGGCTAAAATCCGCGAACATAGACGAGTGAATTAACGGTGAGAACTCGGGGAACGGTGTCCTCGTGCAGCGATGTGATACGGTAACAAATGGATGTCGTGCTGTGCATTCCACTTTTTGGATTCGTTCTAATAGCTGATCCATTGAGGGTATCGTGTCGTCGTTGAGTTGTGCTGTTAATGGGAACTTGCCTGATGGGTGAAGCTGAAAGTGGAATTTTAAAATAAAATAAAATAGTTTAGGAACTCCAAGCAAAGATGTCGCTACAGATTTTTTTAATTAGTGAGAGAGGAAGGTAGAGAAAAAAAAGCAAAGAAAATTTTTTTGCCCTGTGAACTTTGTTTGAACCGGCTCTGAAGAGCGGAAGGGTGAATCCACCCCTATTTACCCCACCCTCCCTCTCCTAGTGAAATCCCTGACTTCAAGATAACATATTTCTACATAAATAGCAATTCGTAATCAATAAAAGTCATAAATCTGCACTTTTGCTTTTGAATCTTGATTTTCAGGGTTTTCGTGCTGGGACCCAAAAATATAATTGAAATTTATAACAACCTGTTTTAAATGTTTTATATATTAAATTTAAAACCATTTACTCTTCTTGTAAGTCTACTTTTTAAAATATTGTTAAGGTTTTCGTGTTGAGACCCAAGTTCAATTAAAGAAAAGTGAAAACAGTTTACATTGTGAATAAATCTAAAACTACACTCTTACCCCAGCAAAATAATCTTCCAGATTATGATCAGTTAAGTTAACAATACTCCATGCTGTTTTCAACCACGGATTCAATATTACTTTAGGGTAAGCTGCATATTTTGCTCGTCGTTCTTCGGTTTTGGCCAGAAATCCAAAGTTTTTGTGCATTTCTTCCGCTATCAAGTTGGTTTTCTTTATCACTAGGGCGATCTAAAACAAAAAAATGATTAAAAAATTTAGATTTTAAGCCCTCAAACAAAATATTACGTTGTTCGAATAATTAAGTGCCCCCTCTCAAAGCAAAATTTCGAGGTTAGGAGCACAGAATTATTTGAACAACCAAATATCTCAAAAAATCAAAAAGTATTGTTTTCCTGATTTAGAGATCTTACCCTTTCTCTCGGTGAGAACTTGGCATATGACTTGAGGTTGAAGTGGATCATGTCTCGTTGATGAGCTGAGAAGAAGTTACTCGCACTTTTTAAGGCCTAAAACATCAAAATTTCACAGTCATGGTACTAATAAACAATATAGTTGTAAAAACGTGCTAGTACATATAGTACTGGCTAAGTAGTACTAGATAGTACTAACTAGTAGCATAAAAGAACAAATTCTCAAAACATTTACCCCAAAAAACTTACTGGTAAAACCCTGCCAGCCAGATCAACAACACTATTCACCATGGCTTCATCGAATCCTATGCATATTAGGTATACCTGAAAATAACATTCCTTTTAATAGTTGCCAAGTCACTTACGGCGTATTTTACACAAAACTCATTTTTAAGTTTTGTAAAGAAAGTTTTTCTCATTTTTTTGCCTTGAAAAGAAAGTTCTTGCCATTTTTTGCTTTGTAAAGAAAGTCCTTGACATTTTACATTTTTTAAAAAAAGTTCTCGTCATATTATGTTATCTAAAGAAAGTTCTTGCCATTTTTTGCTTTGTAAACTAAGTTCTGGTCATATTATGTTTTGTAAAGAAATTTCTTGCCATTTTGGATATTATAACCAATTTTTTACCACAATAAATTCAAAATTTCAAAAAAATCAAAAACTTTTCACCCCATTCGTATTTTACAAAAAATAACCTAAAAATCAGACAAAAACTTGAAAAACCAATATTAATATAGACTAGAGCCGTTACCTCCGAATTGCCAGGTTTGCTGCAAGCAGGTTTTTGAAAAACGACCCGTTGAAAGCAGGTACTAATCTGGGTTAGCAAATTCTGCATTTCATCTGTGAAGAAGGTGTAGATCTTCATCACGAAACAGCCATTCCTCTGGAGACACTTGTTGGCAGCTCGCCAGCATTGCTTGAACAGATTGCTGGTTACTCGCTCTTGTTCTCCTGGGTATTCCTGTAGATTTAAAAATGAATTTTAAGTTTGAAAATTGTAAAATACGACGCCTTTCATATCTATCCTTTCAACCTTCAAAACTTACTCTACAATCAAAGCTCCCATCACAAGTGATAAGATGAAACTTCCCCGTCTCTCCCACCAGATTCCCCACGTAATCATCGCTGAACATGGCCACATTGCCTGTGTTATCAGTTCCGAATACCATCTTATCCATGTGTCGTATCATAAAATTGTCGTCATATATGATTTGTCGTAGGTCGGCTGCTTCATAATAAGGGTTCAGACTATTCATTCGCCACGTCCAGTTTTCGTATTGAGATTCTGGCAGGTAATCACCTAGGGCTCGGACAAAGTTCCCTGGGGCTTCGCAGAGGTGTAACGTTCTGAAATGTGGAATTTGTTCTATGTTGTTGTCTTAAATTATTCTTTTCTATACTTATCTTAAATAAGTTTATCAAGTTTTCTCCAGTTTTTGTAAAAAAAACTTTAATTTGGGTCTCACCACGAAAACCTTAGAACAAAAATCTTTCAAAATAGCATAAAAGTGTACAAAATACAAAACTTTGAACTCATTCATAAATGCATTCAGCATATTTTTAAAATTTTTAAATTGTAAAAACAATTTTAAGGCTGCCTTTCTCTTTTTTGGGTCCTACCACGAAAACTTTAAATTTAAAAAAATGCAAAATTTAAGCTGCAAAGCCACTTGTCCTACTTCACACTCACTAACCCTTACCTAAACTGCTGTTCACCCATCTCGACATGGCTTTTGGTGAGTTCGGGGTTGGCTTGTAATATCTCGATGAATTTACAGTATGCCTGTGTTATTGTGCCTTTCAGCTTTGGGTATTCGTCGAAAATCTTCGATGGTAACAGCTTCATGGGATGTGTGAACGTGGTGTGTCCATGCCATAATGCTTGTGTTATGTGGGAGATTTTTAGCGATATCTTCTCCTGAAATTATATTATCCATGATGATTTGATAGTAAAATAATGGTTTTTGATTCAAAAATGCCATTTTTCAATCAATTTAAGTTTGAAAATGACTTTCTTAGTAAACGCCAGGGTTTTGTGAACATTTTAGTATCAAAAACATGAAAATAGTACCACGTACCTGAACAGCACGAAGCTTTGCTTCTTCGCTATCTTCATCGCTTCCATAGTGATTTAGGTCTACGTGCCGCAAAACGTAGTCGCGGTTCTTGAGTACGTAATACTTTTTGAACAAATTGTCGCATAATATGTCATACTGTGCGGCCAAGTCTCTCGTGGTCATTTACCTTCAAGTTCCGGTGGTTAAAAGTGGTTTTGAAATTTTTTAAATTAGCCTAAACAGCAGTCTAAGCTAAGAACTGAGCCTTTTCCGAGACAAAAAGTCTAAAAACATCCAATCTAAATCAATATACTTCAATAAAAAGCCAAAAGCATCCAATTTACCCCAATATAATTCAAAAAACAACTCCAATCTAGATCAATATAATTCAACAAGAAGACCAAAAACATTCAATCTAGCACCACATAATTTAACAAAAGACCAAAAACATCCAATCTACCACAATATAATTTAACAAAAAGACCAAAAGCATCCAATTTACCCCAATATAATTCAAAAAACAACCAAGAACATCCAATCTACATCAATATAATTCAACAAAAATACCAAAAAATCCAATCTACCTCAATATAATCCAACAAGAAGACCAAAAACATCCAATCTACCACAATATAATTTAACAAAAAGACCAAAACCTAAGATTATCTTTCAATATCTTTCCCTAAACATAGGAAAACCTTAAATTCTACGTCAATACAAACCATCAAAACCCCAAGATCACTCTGTAATACCACCCAAACCCCAAAAACCACTCTGTAAACCACCAAAACCCCAACATTACCCTGTAAAACCACAAAAACAACACAGAAAATGTATCACCGGAGAATTACCGTTCCTTTTAATAACAAATCGTCCCGAAACCAACAAACTTAACGTTTATTTTGTAACAAAATCAACAAAACCCAATAAAATTATTAAAAGTTATCAATTTTCTTGCACTTTTATCGTCGTATCTTCACCGTACTTTCCGTTTTCACCGCTATAATTAGGCGAAAGTGCTGTAAATCTTTGTATTTTCTTTGATTTCCACCGCTTCCCATCCGTTTTGGGTGTTTTCCTTGTCAAATTTCACCGAGTTCAAGAAGGCCAGAGTGGAGATGACGGATTCGAAAGGCTGTAGGTCGGCTTCGGATGATTGGACGTGGACTGGAATGAATAAATCTGATAAAGAATGGCGTTTGATATAAAGTTTAATCATTTTCAATTTAAATCGTCGCTTATTTAACTTACCATCAATCCTGGTCTTGTTGGGGATCTTCCTGTCCGTACGAATCGACCGGATCTTCTTCACGATCTCCATGGCCAAGTCCATTTCCTTTTCCAGCTTGTCATTCCTCAACTCCTTATAATCTTCTGGGTGTGGGTATTCGGCTACAGCCACACTAACCGCCGTGACTGAAGCTCGTTTCGGTAGACGTTGCCACAACTCTTCGGTGATGAATGGCATGAATGGTGAGATGAGGCGAAGGAAGCCGTCGACACAAGCGTAGAGGACGGCTCTAATCGTGTCGGTGATCTTGGGGTCCTTCTTGGCCATGTCTGGCTTGATGGCTTCCAAGTAGATGTCGCAGAACTCGTACAGCCAAAAGTTGTACAAGGCAGTGGTGACGTCTTGGAAGTTGTAGGCTTTGAATCCATCGTCACACTTCTGTGTCGCATATGCCAATCGTGACAGGATCCACTTATCTCCGGTCGATTCGTTTCCGGTAAGCTTGAATTCGGGAGCCGGTTGGTAGTTGTCGCCCATTTGCATAAACATGAACTTGGTTCCTTGCCAGATCTTGTTACAGAAGCAACGATATCCGTGGACTCGCAAGACGTCCAGATTGATGTCTCTGCCGGCTCCATTGTATGCCATTAGAGCGAATCTTAGGGCATCGGTTCCACATTCTGGGATGCCATTGGGGTAGTCTTTGGCTTGGCCAGCTTTGGCTTTCTCGACTTCCTTCGGGTCGAGGTTGCCGCCTTCCAAAGTTTCTTTGAGTTCGTCCAAAGTGATGCCATGGATCACAAATAGGGGGTCGATGACATTGCCAAGGGATTTAGACATTTTGCGACCGTGAGCATCTCTTACCATTGCGTGGAGAAGGACCTTAAAATGGAAAAAAAAATAGAATTTGATTTAAAATTTTGCCAAACTCCAAGAAATCAAACTTATTTTGATTTTAGCAATATCAATAGTCAAATAACTTCAAAATCATTTTTAAAATCAACCTTTAGCCCAGTATCAATCATCGTTTCATCAAAATTGATATATATGTAAAGTAAGCAAGACATGGGCCGTTATTCCATAGCCCTTACTTTATTACCCTTACCTCATTAAACGGAAGTTCACCAGTGAGTTCCTGAGCCATGAAGACCATCTTGGCTACCCAGAAGAACAAGATATCGTGACCAGTTTCGAGGACATTTCCAGGGAAAAAACGCTTAAAATCTATAGTATTCTCTGGCCATCCGAAGAGAGCAAACGGCCACATTCCTGAACTGAACCATGTGTCCAAGACGTCTTCGTCTCTTCTCAAAGTAATCTTTTCTTTGAAGACCTAAAATACGAAATTGATCTTAAAAATCGTAATCAATTACCTTATAAATCAAACAAAAACTTCATTCATACCTAAAGCTCATCATACCCAAACTATTTACAATCAATACCTAAAGCATTCCCCCAAAACCTCACCTTAAACTTCTTGGCCGCCTTTTCCTTGGCCTCGTCTTCAGTTTTGGCACAGACCCAGAAGTTTCCATCAGTATCTTCACCTTTCGGAGCTCCTTTTTCATTGATGGTCACAAAATAGGCCGGAATCTGAAAGCCCCACCAAAGTTGTCTCGAGATACACCAATCTCTAGTGTCTTCTAGCCAGCGGTACCTAAAATTAAAAAATTTTGTAACTTTTTAATTATTCGATTGCTTAATTAATTCTGTGCCCCTTTTAAATCTAATTTTCCTAGTTATGGGCACAAAATTATTTAAACGACATACAATTTTTTAAAATTTATTATTAGGTTGTTCAAATAATACTGTGCCCCTCTCAACCTTTTTTGCTATTTTTTCAATTTTCTTGGTTATGGAGCACAGAATTATTTGAACAATCTATTATTTATCCGCCGTATCATAACTTTTAAACTTATAAAACCTTACCACGTGCTCTCATGATAACTTGGAATCAGCTTCAAATCCCCATTCTTCACCGCATCCACCGCTTTTTTGCCCATTTCCGTGCACTTAATGTACCACTGTGCCTTCACCACCGGCTCAATGATGTCCTTGGACCTACTACACATTGGCACGACCATAGGATTGTCGACAGAACCTCTCAACAGACCAAGTTTGTCCAGCTTTTCAGAGACAAGTTTTCTGGCCGTAAACCGTGGTAGGCCAGAGAATTCACCGCAATTGTCGAGGAGGTTGCCGTCGTCGCTGAGGATGTTGATCATGGGTAAGTTGTGTCTCACTCCGACGTCATAATCGTTAGGGTCGTGGGCGGGGGTGATTTTGACACATCCTGTACCAAAGTCTTTTTCAACGAACGAATCTGCTACGATGATGAGTTTTCGATCCAGGAAGGGGTGAATGGCGTACTGAAAAGTATAGAGGTTAATAATATATAGAATAGCAACGTAAAAATATTGCCAAAACAACTACTTTTAACCATATTTTATTTCCTATAAACCTAAAAGCTCAATTATATTTGCAATTTTAAACTCACCTTTCCAACATATTTCGTATACCTCTCATCTTGAGGATGTACAGCAATAGCAACATCACCCAACATGGTCTCAATACGAGTTGTGGCGACCACAATCTCATCATCGCTACCTTCAAGCTTATAAGCAAATGAAGTCAAAACTCCAAATTCAACCTTCTCTTCGTAGCCTGGTACCGAGAGTTGAGTTCGACCAGTCAATTCCTTCTTGTCTACTTCAATATCCGAGATGGCTGATCTCAACGTGCAACACCAGTTAACGAGACGAGTCGACCGGTAGATTACACCCTTTTCGAACATACGAATGAAGGCTTCGTTGACAGCGCGAACCATTTTTGGATCCATCATGAAGACAGCACGGTCCCAATCAACAGAAGCTCCCATCTTGCGGATTTGGTCATAAATGGCCACGCCTTTCCTAAAATAATATAAAATATTACAAAATCAATCACAAAAACTACATTAGATAACAACAAAAGCTTCAAAAACCAGTTGAAAACAGTAAAACTCACTAAAAGATCAAATTCACCTACTACACCATAATTCTCAAGCCTGATACAGCCCAAACACCGTTTAGACACAACTTTTCTTTAACAAAACTTACTCTTTCTTCCATTTCCAAACTTCTTCAATGAACTTCTCTCTTCCCAAGTCGTATCGAGAAATACCTCGTTCCCGAGCTAATTTCTTCTCTACAACAACTTGAGTAGCAATTCCAGCATGATCACAACCTGGGTTGAACAAGACTGTCTTGCCATGCATACGATGCCTGAAACATCATTTTTAACATTAAAAACTTAAATTCAAAGTCTTAAACAATTAAAAATACAAAAAATGGCATAAAAAGAAAAGCATTTACTTGAACAACAAATAAAATATAAATCAAATACTACACGAATGTCTAAAGAATAAACCTTCAGAAAGAAATCTGAAATACCATACTTACCATCTACACACAGTATCTTCCATAGAAGTGGCTAATGCATGTCCCAAATGCAGCGTTCCAGTCACATTAGGAGGTGGAATCACCAAAGTAAACGAACCTTTTGGGTTGGGCTTGCTGTAAAGTCTATATGTACTAATAAAAAACGTTTTAAAACATTAATTTTTGTTAAGAAAAGCAATAAATAAACATTTTTCTCTAAAAAACGTCTATAATTATTAAAAACAAAAAAAATTAGATGTTGTTCTAAATAGAGGTTAACATTTATGATAGAAGGTCAACTTACGTCAAGTCCTTTTGGCCATACTCAGGTCTGAAGATGCCTTCCTTCTCCCACCATTCGTACCAAGCAGTCTCTACGTATTTCGGACTGTACGCCGACGGGAATTCACTTGAAACATCTAAACAAGATAAGTTAATATATAATCTTCTAACACAAGGTATATTCTCTATTCTTCATCGTTTTTACCAAAAATAAAACAAGTATAGTTATATTACTCTTATTTCAACTTTGCAAAAAAGGAAAACGTTTAAAACCATCAAAAAATCACAGAACGTTATATTACACTAGACCCTTGCTGACGGAAATTGGAACAACTAAAGTTTCCCTATTATTTAATGCCTTACATACACTTTAAAAGCTTGAAACTTATCTCCTCTTCATTCTAAACCTAAATTCCGCCTAAAAATCAATCAAAAATAGAAAAAACCTCACCTTTCTTCTCTCCAGGCTTGGTGTTTCCCTTGTATTCGATCACGTCCTTCTTCAGCTCCTTCTTTGGCTCTTTGTCCTTAGCTTTAGCTTTCTCCTCTTGTTGCTTTTTCTGCTTAGCTTCGAACTTGGCCAGCTTAGCGGCTTTGGCCGCATCCTTCTTCAATTGAGCCTCAGTTTTCGGTTTAGGAGCTTCTTCTCCCATTTTCACCTAAAATAACGTAAAAATTAGCAGAATTTAGCAAATAATCTATGAAAAAACAATAGATAAAATTAATATCGGCTTTATGAAGCGATGAAATAACAAGTTAACGTTCTTTTCCTTGTGCTTGACGCAATATTGTTGTAGATGGGCTAAAAATCCTTTTTCTTTTAGCTCCGACCTGCGGCCGAGAAATGAACTGTTCCTCTGCAGTCTGTGAAGCGATCTTAAACGTTAAAAAAAAGTTTTCCGTATTTTACGTGAATAAAAACATAAGAATGCAATTTTTTAACAATATGGGTTAAAATATTATGCTTTATACATCTTATTTTTGAAAACTTAAAATTTATGAAACAATGCCCTTGAACTCATTTTAATATATTCTTTATCCGTTTTTCAAAAACAAAAAAAACATTGTGAGAGGTTCGAACGTACAATAACAATGAGTGATAGTTTTGGGTACAATAATTACAATAGGACGAAAGGGGAGAGTTTAGTACTTGATTATGGCAATGAAAGTCAGACAAAATAAGGTTGGTGCTTCACAGTTCTTTGTATTTTCATAACTACTACATTTTACCATCTTTTTCTACGTTTTACTGTCTTTTTATAGCAGAAATATCAAAAAACATTGATAAAATGACCGAAAACCTAAAAATATTGAGAAAAGTTCGAGTCTTAGCACGAAAACTTGAAAATTTGCAAAAAGTGCTAAAAAAAGATCTTTGTGAAGAATGATCTCCTCATAATAGGAGCATTAGTAACAAAACATTATAAAATTACAAAGAAGAATGAAGAGAAAGATTCAAACATGTTAGACATTACAAAGACTTATGATAAGGTACTGTGACATGATTAAAAGCACAGTAATCAAAAAATTATGTTTTTTACGAAAATTGTGAGTTTTAAGTACTAAAAAAAGTTAAGTTAGTAAAAGATAAAGAACTTAAGTTATCAGAAGAATAAAACTTACAAAAATAACTGTTACAAGAGAGCTAACTACAGTAATCTACAGTAAGACAATACGAAAGGGAATGATGAAAGTGGTGATAATTGACTCGTCTGCTTAGTTTTCGTTCAGATTCCATGTGATCTGCGGTTGTAATGTCATCAAAGTGCCTGTTTCTTACTGTAAAAAGCTTCGTCTTACAGTAAGAACCGCCCTTTTACAGTAAAAATCGCTGTTGACATGTTATACGATGACATCGTACGAAACATGTCTTTGATGACATTTCTACGCGTAAAACTCCTTGGTGGCGGTTGGAGCTTTCTGATAAGCATAAGAGTAGTGGGGTGGTTGGCGAGGTTCGTCTACAGGGTAGGATCCAGAATCCTTCTTCCGTATCCGATAGACGATGTACATCACGACCAAGATGGCTAGCAGGATGCCGATTACTACGCCGCCGCTGATTGCTAAAATGACATCTATTATTGTGGGTTTGAAAAATTTCAAAATTTTTTTCATTTCCAAAAAATGTGTCATTGTTTCCAAAAAATGCGTTAACTTTCCCAAAAAATACGTCATCAAAATTGAAAAATGTGTCATAATTTATAATAAAAGTCATCATTTAAAAAATACGCCATAATTTCAAAAAAAAATAAATTTTACATAAAAGACGTCATCCTTTTTAAAAAAATGCGTCACCCCTTCAAACTTCCCCCAAAAATCCAAAAAAAAACTTACCGGCCAAGATTCCAGGCTGTAGCATATCGAACCTGAATCCGAACGGAAACTCAGTCTTCGCGTCCTCCACCGTGGGATTCTGTTGAACGTACGGCCTTCTCGTCGATGTTGTAGTAGGCCTTTCGGTGGTCGTACTCGTACTGGTCGTAACATAAACCGGCGTTTGTGTTGCGATTGGTACCGGTACGACTGGACTTGGTCCATTATCAACCTCTTGACCTTGTGTATCATCCTCATATTCTTCATCGTCATCATCATCGTCTTCATCATCTTCGTCTTCATCCATATCGTCCGGATGAATTTCCACTTTCGGCCGCTCTGTGGTTGTTGTGGTGGTGAGTTTGACTTCTTTCACTACTGCTGGTGGAGTTGATGGCGGAGTGTAGCGACCTGAACCTTCGACTGCATCACCATCTTCATCATCAGGGTTATGTGAACCTGAGCCTCGGACTTGTTCGTCGTCTAATCGGCCGTTTGCTGGCCGTCCACTGGCTTCTATTACCTAAAATAACATTTTTATAGCATTTTTATGGGTTTTTCTTATCTAAACTTTCATTATTTTTAGAATTTGATGTTTAAAACTGACAATATTATCCTTAAAAGTCCAAAAAATTATAATTTGTTACCTAAAACTAATCTTTATTACCTAAAACACATGTTTGTTACCTAAAGCAAACGTTTGTTACCTAAATCAACCTTAAAAACCAACTTACATCTATATTCCCTTTGTGATTAGCTGAATCTGACTTTGGCAAGGCTTGTTGTGTTAATACCTAAAAGTACAATAACAAAAATCAAGGGTTCAACTTACTGTAACAATAAATAGGGTCGTCCACGTGAGTGGATGCATGGCTACTGACTATTCTTTGTTTTACTGTTCCCTTAACGTCATACCCGAGATCTGAAAGATATAATGATAAGAAACGTATACTATCGCGACGTATTTTACAATATTGATGCAAAAAGAATGGCACGATGTAAATAAATATATCAAAACAATTAAGAAATCATATTATACTAGGTATTTAGGTCAAAATCAGCAAATAACAGCTGTTTATGGACAAATTTAATCTATTTTTGCTTTTTCTCGTTACTTTTTGACCAAAATCACACAAAATCATATAAAAATCCAAGTTTGAAAGCTAAAATACCGCCCTTAACAATGAAAAATTAGAAAAATAGGTAACAAATTACATAAAAAAGGTATTCTAGCCAAATTCTGATAAAAATAAACGTATTTTAGGTCTAACTAAAATAAAAAACAGGTATTTTAGGTCTAATAACCTAAAAAAAAGCTTATTTTAGACATAAAAAGTTAAAAAAAACGTATTTTAGATCCAAACAAAAACAAAAAATCATATTTTAGGTAAAAACCCAGCTAAAAACCGATGAAATGTAACATGATTGTTTATGAGGTATTTGAAGGTCAAATTGTAAGCGAGCCCGCAGGGTTTTTCACGCCGCAAAAGTGCGAAAATTAGAAACAGAAGCGGAAATCACATGAATATTAATGTAAAAATGCTTGTAAATTCAAAAAAAAGTTTTAAATTCATAAAACATGATTATAAGCTTGAAAGCCAGTACGTATTTTACAAAAATTTTGAAATACAAAAAAAAATTTTTTGAAATTTTTTTTTTATTTTTTCAAAAATCATGAAGTCTTGAGTTTAAAATTTTTTCAAGTTTAATTAGACAAACAATGAAAAGTGGCATAAAGTCTGTTTATGTGTAGAAATATAAAAGGTTGTTCAAAAATGCTGAGCCACCTCTCAACGCAAATTGGAGGGCTTAGTAGCGCAGATTTTTTTGAACAACCCAATATAAAAAAAAAAGTAATAAAAGTGCTAAAGACTTTTTGACCGAGTTAGTACTAAGAAAGTCTTGTCGCTAATGCAAGACCATTTTTAACTAAAAACGACAAGACTTTTCAAAAGCCCTAATACCACTCAAAAATTTGGGCAAATTTCAAGTCCGCCGTCTGGTTTTTTTTCAAATTTCCAGCCCTTTTTCATTTAGGCCAAAAAACCATCCAACCCAAAATTGACCCAAACCCTGCCCAAACATAAATCCAACATAAATCTAGCGGTTCTTTGGCAAAAACCGGCAGTAACTCGAGTCAAATCCCAAAAAACCGGGTTGGGCCGAGGCGGTGGAGAGAAAATTCAAAGCCCAAAATAAAAAAGAGTTAAGAAATGAAAAAAACCGGACGGCGGATTTGAAATTTGCCCAAGAACAGAGCCTGAAAGTAAGTCCGAACTTTTTCATGTCTAAAATTAGGTGACTCTGCTATGTATAACAGATGTACGGGGGCTGTAGAGGGGGGGAGAAGCGGCGCGGTGAGCTAGCGCAAATCAGAAGAGCAGCCACAAGTAAGCGTTGACCTCGCGGCTTGAGTAATGCCTGCAACAATCGATGGGGGACTGGTGCCTGTGTAATATGCTAATTTTTCGTGGGACTAGGATTGTTTTTTGGGGGTTATCAACATGATTATACAAGGTAAAAAGAAGATAAAGAGCTTATTTGGATTTTTGAAAAACTTGAAAAAGTAATGCTAGTGACTTCAAAACTTAAAAAAGAATTAAAAATTCTACTTTTGTCCTATAATTTTAAAAATTAAAGCCCTAAAAACTATTATATAGACCTAAAAGAAAGTCGACTAGGCCATACCTCTTTACAAGTCTACTTGTATATCAAAAAACCCCCCAGAAATACATAAAAAACCTCGTACAAATGCAAAAAACCCTGTCCAAACTATAATTTATGTATAAAGGCTTAAATAAATCAACCAGAAGATGAATGCCTAACATAATATTTTAGACATCCAATATATATATGGGTACCATATGTAAATTTGCAAAGGTCTTCACATCCAAATTTATTTTTAGTAAAAGTTCTCCATACCTCGATACAGGGAGGGACGTTCCTACAGATTTTTTGAGGTTTTTGTTGGAGAGCAAGAGGGGGGGGAGGGGATAAAAGTAATAAAAAAAATTTTTTTGGTCCACAGTGCCATGAACAACCATTTAAAAATTTTTTTAAAAGTTTTTCACATAAAAGCCCTATTGAAATTTTTTTTCTCGCTCGAAAGTAGATCCATCCCCATTCGTCCTCCCCTCCCCCCTCCCCTATAACCATCTAGCGACGTTCCTGCTTCAAGATACCCCTCTAACTCGGCAATACCTTTTCCCCAAAAAACTTTTTTTTAAAAAAGCACTACCTAAACTCCAAAAAATTACAGTAACCATCTCTCCATACTCTTAATTTTGTCACAGAAACAAGAAGGGAAAATCCATTAAACTTTTCCCATAAAACCCCCATTTCCAAATGAATGTACCCCATCCCAAATACACGTAAAACCCGGTTAAAAGCCTACCATTAACTACGGTGATTTGTGACACAACGTATTCTACAACACACAAAACCTTGTGTCAATTAAAATCCCTACGCCGGTACAAAAGTCCATTCACCCGCTCCACCCTGCCCCACGTCCATGCGATATCGGATATCGGCAGTAAATCGTATTTCCCTAACCTTTATGCTCGTATGTACCTTTTACCAAGAGTAAACAAGGTTTGTTGGGAAAGGGAAGAGGGTGTTTGACGGATATTACACTAGGTCAGGGGGGGGGGATTCATATTTGAATAATATTGATGTTTGAGATTGGCAGAGCCGGGCGTGGCAGGAGAAAAAAAAGTTTGTAAGGCAAGAGTAGACAGAGGAGAGGGGGGGGAGTGTGAAGATTTGGCTAGAGCTGTAAATCTGCCAGGACTAGTAAGCCCGCTCTTTGAAGTGTAGCTCTGGATAGAAAAATTAAAAGGACCCCTCCCTTCTCCATTTCAAGATGTATACCTGAGCTACCTAAACCAGTCCACATATTCCTATAATCCCAAAAACCATGCCATACCTTCAACCCTAACCTGCTCTAAACTTACCCCCGCCTGCTACCCCTTATCCTGCTCAAACCATTCTAATCCTTAATTATCTACCCTGCCCAAGCCTTTCTAAACCTTAACTATCTACCCTGCCTAAAACATGCTGAATCTTAACTATCTACCATGCCCAAACCAATCTAAATCTTTACTATCTACCCTGCCCAAACCATTCTCAACCTCCACCACCCAACCTGCCCAAACCAGTCCATCCTCTCCCCCATATCACCGCTCTTAAAATTGCTTACAAAACCAGCCCTACGGGGTCATTTGAGCCAAAAATGTGAGATAAACAGGCGAGAGCGTGTTATTTCGACGTGATACGAAAAGTTTGACATTCGATCCGCTTAATTGATCGGGCAGGTGAAGCCGAAGCCCCCATTTTCGCGAAGAGAAGATCTATCGCCCATAAATCTCGGAAAACATAAATGGACATGAGTTTTTGATTATCAAGCCGTTTTGTACACGTTAGACGGAATTTCGAATGGAATTTGATGGTTTAATCTTGAGCTTGAGATCACGAAAGAAATAATATATACAAAAAATGGTCTTTAGATACTAAAAAGGTCGTCAAGACAATTAAAAGCCTAAAACAGCCATACCTACATATAAAAAAGATGCCTAAAAACCCAATATAAAAACAAAAGAAAACCTAAAACACCTATAATTACAAGCAAAACACCCTTACTAGCCAAACCATGCCTGCTGAAGCCAAAACAACTACCCAAAACTAAAGAAAGTTAACCAAAAATCAAAAAAAAGCTAGCCAAAAATAAAAAGTAAAACAAAAAAAACCAAAAAATGAACCCAAAAATGCATCAAAATAGAGCGAAAAAAAGCTTAAATTTGAAAACTTTAACCCCACAAGCCGGGTTTGATCTGTCAGAAGCGTCATATTTATTATGCATAGATCCCGATCATATTGAAAAGATCGTAAAGGCCTTGGAAGACCGCCATTAACACCCCTCTTCCTCTCTTCCCCAAACCAAATAAAACACCGGTCAGCGGCGGAAAAAATACCCAAACCTTACATTATACAACACTTATCATCAGTTGGTTTATAACTTATCATAAGTTGAGTTATAACTAATGATATCAACAGTTTTGTCAGGTAAGTTTTTTTAGTTTGGCAGGAGGAGAAGAACGAAGGACCAGACGAAATAATTTTTAGTCCAAGTCTTATAGGTTTGAAGGAAAACTAACTAGACCCTGCCAGGCCCAGGCCCGGCTTCGGAAGCAAATTTGAAAGGGCCCAGGTTGGCATAAGTGAAGCGGGGGAGCCAAAACCCAAATCAAGTGTCCTACTCAACCAGGCCAAAATGGACCTGAGGGTCGAGCTGGCAAAAGTGGGACTGAAATCTGAAGCCCAGATAAAGGTTCCCACTAGAACCGGTCGAAACAGGCCTAAAGGTCAGACCTAAATGAAGGCATCAAAGGTCCAGCTTAGGTCCCACAACAGGACCATCTTGGGCAAACCCACCAAGTGAACCAAAAAATTAGGCTCGCCGCAGGCCTTTTTACAGGTCAGTATACAGCCCGAGGGCCACTTCGAAACCGCTTGACTATGTTATAACTAGTACTATATGTTACTATTGTTAGTTGCTGTTTTAAGTATATTGATTGTTTTAATAAATGTAAGACTAAAATAATGAGTCCGGGGACTTTTGGCGCCCCCTGTATACATAATCTCTTTCTCAAGTTTTCAGCAATTCAAATATAACACCCCCCTCCTCAAAAATCAAAATTCCTCTCCCAACCATACCATATCACCCTTCATTAAACCCATCCCTCTAACATATTCCACCCCGCATCTTCATGTCATCAAAAATTAACGATGACACATCCGGAGCGTGCGATTCTCTCACGTTTTGCAAATTTATCGCGTTTTTTGCGGCAAAATTTATAACCCATTTATGGGAAA